CAGAGACTGTCTTAGAACATACTCTTTAAAATATATTGAAAGGAGCATAGAAAGATATTTAGAATAGGTCTATAATGTTAGTAATGCTTTCTGGCATTTAGCTATTTCAAGGGAATATTGTAACTATTAAAAGGGGCAGAAACTTTTAGAAGATATACTTCCACGTAGGTAACTATGCTACACTTCGACTCTACGTCTGTATTACGCCTCTCTACCCAGCAGGGGCAACCAAGTTGTGAACGTTAGCCAAAAGGATGTGAGAAACAAAGCCCAGAAAAACTCAGCCTACTGTTCGTTTATAGCGAAAAAAGATTTAATCTAGATTTCTTTTTTTCCCAGCTCTATTGAGATATAATTAACATAATATTGTATAAGTTTACAGTGTACAGAGTATTGATTTGATACATGTATGGATTGCAAAATGTTTCCCATAAGGTTAACACCTCCTTTACCTCACATAATTAACATTTTGTTGTTATGGTGAGAATATTAAAGCTCATAGCAGCTCTCAAATATGCAATGCAGTTTTGAGTTATCGGTAACAACGCAGTTGTTAACCGCCATGCTGCTGTACATTAGATCCCTGGGCTACATCCGGCTTATAACTGGAAGTCTGCGGCCTTCAACCAGTGCCTCCCTTCCCCTGCTCCGCAGCTCCCGCAAACCACCCTTCTGCTGCGTCTGAGTTGCACGCTTTGGATTTCACACATTCTTGAGATCGTGCACTAGTTGTCTTGCTCTGTCTGGCTTATTTCACTTAAAATAATGCAGCCAGGGTTCATCCACATTGTCACAAATGTCAGGAATTTCTATTGTGGCTGAGTAATACTCTATTTTGTATATGCAGGGTGAGGCAAAAGTAGGTTTACAGTTGTTTGTATGGAAAATAATAAAATGATAATAATACAGAAATAAACTGTTTTGTGTGCTCACAACTGTAAACCTACTTTTGCTCCTCCCTGTATAACACATTTTTCTTCATCCGTCCATCTGTTGGTGGACACTTGCATCGTCTCCATTGATTGGCTGCGGTGAACATGAGGGTGTGGGTGTCGCTCTGAGACAGGGGCTTCATCATCTTCAGATGTGTATACATGTAAAGGGACCGCCAGGTCACACGGTAGTTTTATTTTTAATTTTTTGAGGAACCTTTGTATGGTTTTCTGTAGTATCTATGTCAGTTTATATTTTTACTAACAGTGCATCAGGGCTCCCTCTTCTCCACATCCTCGCCAACACTGTCTTTTGCCTTTTTGGTAATAGCCATTCTAACAGGTGAGATTATATCTCATCATAGTTTTGATTTACATTCCCCTAATGATTAGTGATGTTGAGCACCTTTTTCTGTATTTGTTGGCCATTAGTATGCCTTTGGAAAAATGTCTTTTCAAGTCTTTTGTCTGTGTTTAATCAGATTATTTGCTATTGAGTTGTATCAGTTTCTTTTTTTTATATTAACCCCTTATCAGATACATGATTTGCAAATATTTTCTCCCATTCTGTAAGTTGCCTTTCATTTTGCTGATTGTTTCTTTTTGTGTACAGAAGCTTTTTTAGTTTGATGTGGTTCCACTGGTTGATTTTTGCTTTTTAGTGTCGTACCCAAAAAGTCATCACCAAGACCAATTTCAAAAAGCTTTTTTCTGAAATTTTCTTCTAAGAGTTTTACGGTTTTGGGTGCATTTAAGTTCTTACTCCATTGCGAGTTTATTTTTATGAGTGATTTAAGATAGCGGTCCAATTTCAGTGTAAGGGACAGATTTAAAATAAAAATAGAATGATCAGCTATTGATAGTATCTTGGATATGGGCTTTGGGAAAAGGAATCAATACTAGTACTCAGGTTTGGTGACTGGGGAGATGAGATATTCTTCTTTAAAACAGAGATTAAAAATGGGGTAATAGATTTCTCAGAGAATGACTTTTGAGTTTAAGATGTCCGCAGATATCCGTGTAGAACTCTCCACTGGGAAGTTTATGAAGTGAGTCTGGGAGTCGGTTGCGAGCTGTGGGCTGGAACTGTAGGCCTGAAAGTCGTAAGGACGCAATGTGAGTTAGGAGAGCGTGGAGGCGGATAACATCACCCTAGAAAGGGTGCACTAGCCGAGCCGGGTCTTCTCAGCACTCGGCCAGTAGCAGAACGTTGGAACCAATGAAGGGTTTCAAGAGTACAGTCTCATTTAACCTCCTAACAACCCTGAGTTAGGAGTCTAATCCCAGTTTTACAAATGAGAGCATTCAAGCTTGGAGGAGTTAAGTGATTTTACTGAAAGTGACTCTGCTACTAAGTGGTCAGAGTGGGATTTCAAATACAATCTGTATGATTTCAAAGCCCATTTTTTCTTACCATGTCTTCTTTGTAAACCTCAAGTTTAAATAATATGATGTTATCATTATTTTTTTTCCTTACTTCTGCCAGTATTCTGGTTTCTCCTTTTAAATAACCTTTTTTTCTCTGATTTCCCCTGCTCCATCCCTGAACACATCTATCAGATTACCTTTTCTGTGAGGTTGACACGTGGTACTCACCCTCTAGTCCAGTGCCTGCTTTAAAACCACGGACTTGACAGCGGTCCTCCGCCGGCTCCCGAGAGAGGCCTGTCAGCCTGGCATGCAGGGCTCTTCTCCGTAGAATTACAGAACTGTTCAGAGCGTTTCCACATTTCCCGGTTCTCGTCAGTGCTTATTCATGTGCTTGGATGTTGTTTACATGCAGATTTCATTGTGATGATCTCAGTGTTCTTTGTAAGGGTTTCATTTTAATGTTTAAATTTTAATCTTTAGATTATATTACTCTTATGTTTACTCTGTTACCGTTTTTTTTTTTTTTAATGACTATCTTTGTGGTGGAAGCGGCTTAAATGTCATCTGACATGTATTCCATACCCATTGTAGGGGCTTTTTGTCCACTCATTTCTAATGTGATAAGCCAGTCTTTGCTCCTACATTTTTCTAGAAGGATCCTTCCCCCCCGCTTTTTCGAGAGGAGGAGAGGAGAGTAATTCTAGTCATTAGAAGCTTAAAATTAGAAATATTCTTAATATTGAGTCAGAATCCTCCTTTCCATATGTTTGTTTCCAGGACCTGCCCCAGGAACAACGTGGCGGTTGGTCCTTTCTCCTTTGCCTCGTGAAGTGTCTCGGACATTTCAGGACAGTTCTCAGTCTCTCCTTAGAGACGGAAGCCAAATAATCGTATTTGCTTGGACCTTTTCTCCTGTGACAGCTCTTAAATTTTCTCCTGAGGATTCTGGAGTTTTGTCGGTGCCCCATCTCAAAACATGGGTCCCGGAACACAGCACCCCCCAGGAGAGCAGGACAATGTTCTTCCTTTGATTAGGGCCCTATGCTTGTATCGTAAAAGCCTGAGATTTCTTCAGCTTCATAGCAGCCATGTTACATTGTACATTCATTCACTCAAAATACCTGGATATGATTTTTGCACAGGTGGTGGTTATGCTAGCTCTCCCCTGTCATCCACTGTGCAGTTGATTTTCTTTAATCTAGAGAACTTTCCAACTTTCCTAGATATGTTTCATCTTCATTTTGACCCATCATTTTAGCCAAGTGTGATCATGTTATCCAATGTGTTGTTAACCATGTTTCCCAGTTGTAGGGCATCTGGAGATTTCAAGGCATATTTTTCACATCTTCTTTCAAGTTCTTAATAAATATCACAAAAACAGAGACTCTCTGGTTCATCCGCCAAGTTAATCAGTGGTACTTAGAATGGTTCTGTTAACCACTTTCCTGCCATCCGTCTTCATCTCTTCATCATATCTGCAAAGATCTCATTCGTAAATTCAACAAAGTGTTATTTGGTACCTACCACGTGCAGAGAGATGCTAGAGATATAGTGAAGACAGCAGTCCCTGTTTTATGGAGCTAACAATCTAGAGAGAGCAGGAGGTATTTTGTTAAATGTTCTGCAGAAATTGGTTTACATAATTCTCTAAGGTATTCTCTTTACCTTTTGGTACCATATCAGAAAAGGAAATAATGAATCATTACTTTTTGCAGACTTTATATTGACTACTAATGATCTATCACCTGAAACTGGGATTCATTTCCTTTCTCTTTTCACCTTTCATGGTTTCACAGTAGTTTTGAGCTCTGGAAGTCTTTGGAGTTTGGCCGGATCTTTCCAAGCCCTGAGCTCAGTAGAGAACAGTCTGTTCAGCCACATTTTTGTTGTTGGTTATATGAACATCTCATTTTTTTCTCCCTGTATTATCTGGATCCATTTTTATTTTTCAGTAAACTTAGTTATGAAGAATTTCTGTTCAACTTTAGTCATTTTTTTCCTACAATTTTTGTTGTTCAGATTTTATATTTTTCTTTGTATTTTGAAATGATTTTTCCTAAGGAGATTAACTGTGAGTAGCCTCAAATTTTCTTTTTTGGTTTTCTTTGATCTCTTAAAGTGCCATAGCCACTTTCCCCAGGGTTCTGGTCCTTTTTACTTAAACTACTTATTTCTTTTTAATTCACCAGAATTAATCCTAGAAAGGCTTAAAGGTGCAAGTTCTTTTTATTAGAATGATACAAAGAACAGATGTCCTCATAGTTCATAGAAGATAGCCTACCTGTCTTCTTCGCAAGTACGGATTTTCATCATCGTTCACGTGCCATCCGTGTCTTTCTTCTGACCAATTCCCACCATCATATCATCTCCCCACTCTTTCCCCTTTGGTCCAGTATCTTCCACTATAATAGGAGATGCTCAGACTGTGGGGTTTTCACATAGATACATATTTTCTTAAATAATTGTAAGGATTTTCTGCCTTTTTCTGTGGATCTATCTCTGTGGAACAGCAGAGTTCCTGTAGAGGTTAGTCCATTGTTACTGCCCATCCCACCAAGCCTTGGTGGTTCCCATGAGGTTTATTTATCTTCTTGTTCTTTTTTACTGTTGCTGCTTTTAACTGTCATGTCTAACACACTGATGTTCAATAAGTAATATTTATGATTAACCTCACAAAGTATTTGCCTTCTCTTTTAGGCTGTGAGGATATCATTGCTGAGAGCATCTCATTAGATACCTTAATTGCCATCCTCAAGTGGAGCTCTCATCCATATGGCTCTAAATGGGTGCACCGACAAGCTTTACATTTCCTCTGTGAGGAATTTTCCCAGATCATGACCTCGGATGTTTTTTATGAACTCAGCAAAGACCATCTGCTTACCGCTATCCAGTCTGACTACCTGCAGGTAATCGTTTACACGCCTCTCAAATTCATTGTCGTTCATGTGTGCACCAAGAAACCTAGCTGTACTCTGTTACTCTCACATCTAGGGAGATCAGCCCTCCTCACATTTGTACAACACGGCCTTCTAGCTCTGGCCCTGTGTGCACTCTGCTACTGTGACTCGACATTGTCAACCATCCCGTGTCCTGACTCACCACACCAGAGGGGTTGAGACAGTAGGCAGGGTCAGAGCACATCCCAGCTGTGGTCTTCCTGGCTTCCACTAATAGTAAATTCACTGTACCAGTGTCTTCTTTTGTTGGAGTGTGAGGTACTTAGACTGTAGGCGGTAGCTTAAGTAGCACACATAAGAATAATAATCTCTGGTCTACTCAATGCTCATTAAAACTCTGTATATGTGTACTGCCAATATAATGTTTATACTACTTAATGTTTTCAACTAGTTTTTAATCAGAAGCGGTTTTTAGCAAATTCTGTATTCTTGATTTATATATTCATCTAATTTGGTAATTAAAACTAACAGTAGATTTAAAATATTGCAAAATTTTTCAGGTAAAGTATGTTCAGGCTTAATTTTCTTTTGCATCGGTTTTATTAATTTTATGCTGAAAATTGTACAGCAGTTTTAGTGTTATGAAAATACAAAAACCCAGTGATCCATTTCTTATTTTTTATTGTTGTGCTAGAGAAGTTATAAGATGCTTCCATCTCTGTCAGAAATGCAGTAGAGTTAAATAACCCACTTAGCATCTGTGCTTTGATCGCGGTACAAATGTTGTCATCTTGGGTTTGGTTTTGGGGTCTGTGTCTGTTGACCTTGTTTGACTGTCCTGATCCAGAGACTCTATGCATTATGGGAGTTAGGGTTTGTCAGTTTTCTCAGATTATTGTCTTTAGAAGCTTTGTGTTTCTTCTTAGAAAGTAAAATCCTTGGAGAGTAGCCTAGATTTGCTTTAAATTTTTAGATAAAATACAAAGAAATGAGGGACATGTGCCATTTCACAGATTGTGCTTAATGGGTCTTTCGCCCATCAGTAGAGTACCTTGTGGGGATTGCTCTTATAGGAGATGGTGGTCACTGTATCTATATACTTTTAATTTTATTTATTTATATCCATCTTGTCCCAAAAAGAATTCAAGGCATCTGTATAAAGACCATAGAGTAAGATAAAATAAAATAGGTGAAGAGAATAAGATAAAGGAAAAAATAAAGATGGAAATAATTAAAAATTTAGACTTCCAGCCAAGATGGAGGCATAGGTGGAAACACTGTGCCTCCTCGAACAACCAGGTTTAAAGACAATAAAGTTTTAGTAACAAAAACGCAACCAAAACACAGAAAATAGAACTGTACGGAAGTCTGACAACAACGAACCGTTCATCCAGGCTGGTAAGAGGGGCGGAGTCAGCGGCTGGCGGAGAGGGGTCCAGGCTGGAAAAAGCAGTAGCGGCTGGACAGTCCCAGGCGTGCTGGCAGCGGTTGGCTGATCACAGGTGTGGGGTGGCAACGGGCAGACCTAGTGGGGGCACAGGGCGCAAGGCGGTTGGCTGACCACGGTCACACATTCACACTCAGATAAACCAGGTGAAGGAGTGAGCAGTGAGGCAGACCACGCAGGCTAGGGCCCCAGCGACGGGAATTAAAACCTAAAAGCACCAATTGGAAGAACTTTTGGGGTCGAGGTGCCGGGAGAAGATCCCAAGCTCACAGAGAGTTTGTTGGAGAGACCCACAGGGTCCTGAAGGGTGCACAGGCCCACACACCCAGGAGCTGGTACCAGAAGGGCCCAGTTTGCTTGGGGGAAGCAGCAGAGGGGACTGAAATCTGAGAAAGAGCAGAACAAACGCCATTGCCCCTCTCTGACCCCGCCCCCACATACAGCATCACAACCCAGCTATTCGGTGGCCCTGCCCTGGTGAACACCTAAGGCTCCGCCCCTCATATGTAACAGGCATGAACACACCAAAACATTATGGCTCAAGCAGAAAGAGAGCTCAAAGCCCCAGAGCCAATAATTCTAAGCCACCAAGAGATAGCCAACCTATCAGATGCACAGTTCAAAACACTGGTAATCAGGATGCTCACAGAACTGGTTGATTTTAATCACAAATTAGAGGAACAAATGAAGGCTAAACTAATTGGAATGAAGGGAAATGCACAGGAAACCAATAGTGATGGAAAGGAAACTGGGACTCAAATCAAGAGAGTGGACCAGAAAGAAGAAAAAAAGGACCTAACAGAAAAAATTGAAGAAACAAGAATTCAAAAAAATGAGGAGAGGTTTAGGAACTTCCAGGACATCTTTAAATGTTCCAACATCCGAATTATAGGGGTACCAGAAGGGGAAGAGGAACAGCAAGTGGAAAACTTATTTGAACAAATAAAAAAGGAAAACTTCCTCAGTCTGTCAAAGGCAATTGACTTCCAGGAAATCCAAGAAGCTCAGAGTCCCAAAGAAGTTGGACCCAAGAAGGAACACACCAAGGCACATCATAATTACATTAGCCAAGATGAAAATGAAGGAGAGAATCCTAGAAGCAGCAAAAGATAAGGGGACAGTCACCTACAAAGGAGTTCCCATCAGACTGTCAGCCGATTTCTCAAAAGAGGTTAAGCTTACAGGCAAGAAGGGGCTGGAAAGAAGTATTCCAAGTCATGAAAGGCAAGAACCTACATCCAAGATTGCTCTATCCAGCAAAGCTTTCATTTAGAATGAAGGGCAGATAAAGTGCTTCCCAGATAAGGTCAAGTTCAAGTTCATCATCACCAAGCCCTTATTATATGAAATGTTAAAGGGACTTAGCTAAGAAAAAGAAGATAAGAAGATGAATAGTGAAAGGACAGCAAACTCGCAGTTATTAAGAACCACACTTAAAACAAAAGCAACTAACAGGACAGCTAGATCAGGAGCGGAACCATAGAAATGGAGATCACATGGAGGGTTAGCAACAGGGGAGTGGGAGGAGGAGAAGGGGGGAGAAGGTACAGAGAATAAGTAGCATAGGCAGTAGGTAGAAAATAGATGGGGGAGGGCAAGAATAGTGTGGGAAATATAGAATCTAAAGAACTTGTGACACATGGACTAAAGGGGGGAATGGTGGGGGAAGGGGTATGCAGGGTGGAGGGGAATGAAGAGGGGAAATGAGACAACTATAATGGCAGAGTCAATAAATAAAAAATTTTTTAAAAGAATTTGAAAAAAAAAGAATAAACAATTTAGTTAAAGCCAAAAGTGAAGTAATTAGACAAAACCCATGTTGTAGTACAGGCTTGTGTGTTTGCTGTTCATGGACCACAAGTTTTAACTTCAAACATGTCAGACGGCCAGTGGAAAGAGTGAAATGTGGTAGGGAAGTTGCACACTGTATTTACTTTATGACCTAGAAAAAGTCATTAATGAAACTAACCATTTACCTAATTTCAACAAAATAAGTATAAACCATTTTTTATTGTAGGCAAGTGAACAAGATATCCTTAAATATCTGATTAAATGGGGTGAGCACCAGCTGATGAAAAGAATAGCAGACAGAGGTAAGCGCAGAAAATTGGCTTGCACTGGTTTTCCCAAAAGCCCCCAGATGTGAAGTTACATGTCAGTCTTGACAGTAGCCACTGTTGCCTGGTGAAAATAAAAATTTTTATAAGTGGAAAGGGTGTGCCTTGTTGGAAATAAATATACCCAAAAATAATATTTTACAGTTTTACAAATATACTTTTTAATGTTATTTGTCTGTGTACTTGATATTAAATGTTGACTGATTTATAGAAATGGTAGAATGAAAATGTTAATTTAACAATTAAAGTATTACAGTGCATCTTGTTGATGAAAATGTCCTGGAATTAGATAGTGGTGATGGTTGCACAACAAAGTAAATGGATTAAAAGCCACTGACTTCTTGTACACTTTCAAATGATGAGTTTTATGTTATGTGGGTTTTACCTAAGTAAAAAAAATATATGACTATTCCCCAAAAAGCATATTGCTTTATTTTTTAATTTTGTGGAGGTCAAGGAGAAGTGATTTTGAGTGGTCTCCAACCGGGGTTACTCTAGAAAGGATGGAAGTGTCATAGGTAGGAGGTCAGCTTTCAACTTTGGAAGCTTATGATTCTTTTATTTATAACTAGAGTCAGTCTACCTACCTGTACTCTTTCTCTCATGGAATATTTTATGCATATATAATGAACCGAAAACAAAAAACTTTAATTAGAAAATTAAACAGATTTTCCTTCCCTGTTATTTTTCAACAGCTTTATTTATCTTTAATTTTTTCGAGTTTACAGTGAGAGCTTTATTAGTGAAGCAGTGATACAGAGAGTGCCTGTCCTGCAGGCGGAGCAGCTGGCTCGGCGGCTATAGACACAAGTTGCAGACTGCGGGGTCCGACTTCCTCCAGAGTTCACGTCAGTTATTTCTAGTAGCAAGTCGATAGAGTTGTCCCGCCACGTTTTAAAATATATAAAAATACCAAGCTAAACTGCTTTTAAACCGTTTAATATATCCAATTAATACACTACTATGCAAGTACTAGGGAACAAAAGCAGTTTTCCTACTTGATTTCCCCCAGTTTATTTCTCTGTGGCCTGCAGAAGCCTTTAGCAATTCTCTAGGTTTGAATTTTTAAATATTACAACCACCATTAACTTGGGACATTTCTGAAATGGCAGGCAGTATGCAGTTTGTCCTCCCTACCCACAGACTGTCTTTGCACACTCACCTACTTGCCGGAATTTCTTTTCAGCATCCAAATCAATACTCTTTGCACTTCCATGGGCATTTGCCGACACGTGCAGAGACAAAAAATTTGATTCCCTCGATGCACACGTTCCAGCTTGAGGTGATACTCTGCCTTCCTGTTTCCGCTCCTCTCCCAGTGTGTCCAGTGCTACGTTTGCACACTCTTACGGGGCCTGGGGAGGTGATCTCCTCCTTTAAAATGGCCTCCAGTGTAATGCTTGGTGCCATCTGGTGTCCTAGGCACAGGAAGACTATGATGTGTCCCATGGAGAAAAGGTGTGTTAGGTGAGCTTTGTTCAGGTATGAGTTACAGTGCTAATAAATCAATGTATATATTTAAAAGGTGTCTCTAAACAGCAGCACATGTAAAACAAAATTATATCTTGACCAGTTGTCAAAATGTTGTGACCAGAGGCTCCCAGCAGTTTACCCCTGTGTTTTCCTGGGGAGCAGTGGTTCAATATTTGCTAATTAGTTGTTCTTGGTGACTTCGTAGAACAGAACTACGCCACATAGGAGAAATTGGGTGTATGCAATGTTACATAATCATCATAGGCCATAGGTTTTTTTTCTATGACGTAAGCTTGGTAATGTATTTATTTTGGGCAGATAACGAGCATCCTGGGTGACATTTCCCGGGTTAGAATGTCAGGCTCTTTCCCAGGGTTGAGAAGGAAGCCAGGCGAACTAGGCTGCACACTTGTTTCAGTCACCTTCGCGATGAGGGCTCTGCCCTTACTTGTTACGTATTTGGGAGTTTAATATAAGATTTCATTTGAAAACAAGATGCCACTAATAAAATTTTAAAAATAATGCCTTGTATAAGTATGAAGCCAAATCATAGCAAGTTGACGACAAAAACTTCATTTTTTACATACTTGCAGCAAGTTTATTTCATACCACTCCAGTAAAAGCTTAGCTTCTCAAAAACAGTCTTTTTACTTTTCCATCACTTATCCATTTAAGGGAAATATCAGTTTGCCTGTAGACTTTGCAAAATATTTAGGATATATATTCAGGAATAGTAAAGATCTTTTTTTTTTTTTCAATATAGCCCTGCAGATTAAAGACATGATAAAGTTCCCAAAATTTATGTAAATTTTTCCTACTTCAACATAATAAGCATATAAATACTTCAAATCTTCCCCTTTCACTAATACCCAGTAAGGAAAACCTTCGTCCTCTGCTCTGGACAATGGAAATATATTACATGTCAGAGATCAGAGGCTTCACTTACAAAGGTCTATCCAGAAGGTCTCCAGCCATGTAATAGGAAAAATAGGGACATTTATTGAAGAACATACAAGAAACACTGACATCTTGGGTCCTCACACAGTTCTCCTAGTTGCCATCAGCTGCCCTGTCATATTTTCCTGAATCTCATCAACAGTCTGAAATCTCTTCTCTTTCAAAGGTGGTTTTAGTTTTGAAGTCTCAGGGTGCCAAATCTGGGCTCTAGCGGGGCAAAGTCACCTGGGTGATGCGATGTTTCACCAAAAAACTCTGCACAAGACGTGATGCATGAGCGGGCATATTGTCGTGATGAAGCTGCCAATCACCAGTTGCCCATAGCTGTTTCCTTCTGAATTGTCCCAGTGGTTTCTGTGGAGGAATGTTCAGACTTAACACAAAATTGCATGCAGATCTGTTGCTCTACCTGTTCAGTCATTTTGAATGTGACAGCCACACAGTGCACATGCTCACTCAGTGGCTTCTACCACTGACTAGTACAGTGAAGTCATCATTGTTCACACATGTGCATTGCAGTCCACTCTCCTTGGCTACCAGGTTCCATCGATGTCATGCAACCATTTGCATTATATTAACAATGACTGGACTTTTTTCGGGACAGACCTTGTATGCACTAATGCTCCCATATTATGGAAATTTAGGAGACTATCATAAAAATCTTAGAATGCCCTTTATTTTGCTGCTTTAGATCCCAGGAGATTAGCATCTTAAGTTGCTGTTAAACAAGTGGTAGCCTCGTTGAACGTACCTTTAAGCCACAGTGACCAGAAATAGCACTTGCCTGCAGTGTCCTAAAAACTGCTCACAAAAGTACAAAAGCTTAAGAAAAAGCTCTGGGCAAACTAGATTTTAATAGATTGTCACCTTTTTCCCTTTGCGTTAGTATGTGGAAGAAAATTCTTTTTTCTTTAGTGCAGAACAGTCGTAAAGGCATGTTGCTACGCTTTGGATGCCATGGCTTTTCTCTGTCCAGGAACATCTCTGTGACCAACTTTGTAAAACACAAACCTAATTCATAGCCTTTTTTAAGGCAGGTGCACTTAAGTACAAAGAGTGGTACTCAGGTGTGCTAGGGAGGAAGAAAGTCTGGCCCTGAGAATTTGGAATTGCTTGGAGACTCTCTCTTTCTGTCTCGCAGAGCCAAACTTACTGAGCGGCACTGCGCACAGTGTGAACAAACGAGGTGTGAAAAGACGAGACCTGGACATTGAAGAGCTTCGAGAGATCCTTTCTCCTCTCTTACCTTTTGTGCGAATTGAACACATTTTGCCTATGAACAGTGAAGTCCTGGGTGATGCAGTAAGTCTGTCCTCATTGATCCCTTTCATGAAAAGAAAATGCACAAAAAATGTACGGACTTATCTTTGTTTCTCATTGTATATAATTTCTGTTACTAATGAAATGTTGTGAAAGCATAAGTTCCATGAGGTCAGAGACAGATGTCTGCTTTGTGCTGTGTTGTACCCCTGTTCTGGCACTAAAACAGGGCAGAAACTACCTTTGGAGACCCTTCAAGAGCAGCAATAAATTAACGAACAGGAGGGAAGGAGAATGAATGGTTCAGTGTAAAAAGGATGGATACATCTTTTTTTAAAAATATTTTTATTTATTTTTAGAGAGAGAGGAAAGGAAGGAGAAAGAGTGGGAGAGAAACATCAGTGTGTGGTTGCCTCTCATGTGCCACCCACTGGGGACCTGCCCTGCAACCCAGGCCTGTGCCCTGACTGGGAATTGAACCAGTGACCCTTTGCATCACAGGCCTGCTGTGCTCAATCCACTGAGCTACACCAGACAGGGCTGAATAAATCTTATAGTGGTATTTCAGTTAAAAATTGATGGAGCTGACCATGCTAATTTTTAAGTTTTAAGTGAATTTTTAAAGTAATAGAATTGTTCAAATTAATGAATGGGGAAATAAATATAAATAGTAATTCCTCATGCATTGGTTTATAACTTTAATGTCATGCTGTAAACATAATAGTTTTTAAGAGTTCTCTAAAAAGAACATAGGGTTAACTCTTCTCCAATGTAAAGTATATGTTAAAACTCATGTAATATTTAATCTGTGATGCTAGCATAGCAGGTAAGACAAAATAGTCTTAAAAAAGATCCTAATTAATAAAAGAATTAAGCATAAACGAGCTCTCACAAATCAGTGTGGTATTAGACTAACTGATGAATGGGGAAGAGAGGAAGGAAATGTGTTTCAAGTTAAGTCCTCATTTCATTTGCACACAAAATCCCTCTTAGATTGAAAAATTAAATACTGAATTAAAACATAGAACACTAGAAAAAATTAAGTATTTATGGAATCTGATCAAATATTCAGTCTCACTAGTAATCACATACCCCAAAGAAAGCAAAATAAAGCAGTGCTATCATTCTTTTCACCTATTAGGTCAGTAATTTTTGAAATAATATTACTACCCTATAGGAGAAGTATAGCTAGAAATAGCCTAAATATCTAAGAACAGGAAAAGTAAATAAATTATACTGTAACTACTCAACAGAATATTTTGCTTCCCTGAACAATGGTTATAATTACTAGTATAGCAACATGGATATTGCTGATAATAGAATATAATTTTAGAAAGAAGGATATAAAATTTTGAGTATTCTAGAATGCAGTTATGTTAAAATTCATTTGAAAAAAGAAAGAAAATATAACGATATTATTACAGTTGTGATAGAGTTGACTTTTCTCTCTTGTATGCACTAATTCTACATGTTATTAAAAATCATTTTAACTAATACTAACTAGAAATTAGACATTTATTATGTTTAACCAGAATAATATTGGAGAAACAGTGTTTGGTTTTGTTTAAAATCTAGGATTCAAACCAAGTTGAACCTTGAATTTTAGAAGACTGTTTTTGTTTTAGAAACTTTGGTTTAGCAGACTTAGAAAAAATGTATCGCTGCTGTTAATTCTGTGGATACTGCATAATAAGTCCCCGGTAGAAGTTTGCTAATAATGGCTCTTAATTGGAAGTGCTAAGCACTGTGCCAGGCTTCATTGAACCCTCACAGCCACCTTATGATCTGTGGGTGCTTGGTTTATGTTCTCCTAGCACAAGTGAGGGCACAACTGGGCCACACGCATAGTTGTGAGGTGCCCCAGCAGTAGGGCCATTTAGGAGCCCTTACCATGAGGCCCTGGGAAAAGGAGGTGGCCACGGTCACCTGGCTGTTTACTGGGGTTAAGGTTTGAGCCAAGCCTGCCTCCCCTCGCATCCTTGCCCGTAGGCACCATGCCCACTGCCTGCGTCCCTGTACTGTACACGCGAGGCCCTCTGGTTCCTGTTGTGTCTTGCAGGGGAGGAGGTTGGGTTGGGGATGGAATTAGTTCCTAGATGAGTAAGGAAAAAATAAAAATTGGTTTTCATTAGGAATTCCAAAGGTAAGTCTAATTTATTACATTTTTAATTAAGATAGTTCTTTTTTTAAGGTTTTATTTATTTATCTTTAGAGGGGAAGGAGAGAGGGAGAGAAACATCAATGTATGGTTGCCTTTCGTGTGCCCCCTGCTGGAAACTGGCCTGCAACCCAGGCATGTGCCCTGACTGGGAATTGAACCTCGATCCTCTGGTTCGCAGGCCTGTGCTCAATCCACTGAGCTACACCAGCCAGCGCAAGATAGTTCATTTTTAAAACATTCCTCTGTGTAGAGAAAAATGGGAAATTGTGTGACCTTTTATCGCTTTAAATAGTGTTAAACATTTAAGTATTTAAATTTCACATAGATTCCTAAATTTTTTTACAAATGATAAGTTTGAACATTTTGATTTATAGGTATAATTATCTTAGTATTGTAGTGATACCCAAATCTTATTGTTAAAAAAATTTTTTTTTCAAGACGAAAAGAGGCCTGATTAGTACTCCTCCATCAGATATGCTTCCCGCGTCAGAAGGTGGGAAGTCAAATGCCTGGTTACGGCAGAAAAATGCCGGAATATATGTTCGTCCTCGACTGTTCTCACCCTATGTTGAGGAAGCAAAGGTAATGAAAAACATTTCCAGATTCTTAAATACCTCATTAGAAAATATAAGCACAGAGATATTTATTGCGGCATTATATAAATATTTGGAAGTGGCCTAAATGTTCAATAATCAGAAAAGTGAATGTAAATCCTAGTGTGTCTCCTCTGCAGAATACTTTTCTGAGATGCTTCATTATCATGCATGTTTTTTTTTTATAACTTAGGCCATTATAAATTGCATTTTACTTTTTTTTCATCTTAGTTATCTTCAGAAATGTTAACTTGAAAAGGAAGTCTTATTTCTTTGAAATGGTTGTCAGTGTTCTGTGATCTTCAGGGTGGGAAAAACGTCCTGAAAGCAGACTGCACACATTCTGTCTTCCCTCCCGTACTAAAGAAATGCCGTGACTTCTTGTAATGGCTATTTCCGTGACGGCTGATGGTTGGAAATTGTGTGCAGTCTTCAAATAAGTACACGTACAAAGAAAGAATTTTAGGTAGTAGTTGGTATTATGATAACAATTCTTCTAGAAAATATGGTAATGTAAAAATGAAATACAATAATTTTGCTCAGATGTATTTCAGCCATAAGAACTTCAGGGTGGCCTGTTGAGGAATGGACAGACTTGGAAAGGCAGAAATCACCATTAAGCTTTATGAAAAAAAATAACAGGCAAAGTAATGTGTGTTTTGGTATAAAGTAGATTTATCTTAAAATTTTTCTTGCTTTTATGATAGGAGTTTCTAGTTCCAGACACATTAAAGAATTTGTGAGAAGTTTATTTTGTCAACTAGGTTGACAGTCTATACCTCTTTTCGACTAGTTGACGTTGTAAATAATTCTAAAACGAGGTGAAGGCAGAATGGTTGTGCCTCGTCTGAACTGAATTCAGTCCTTAAACTCACTGAAGCAGCTGAGGCCTGTGCGGAAGGTTGAGTCGGGCTGTGAAAGGTCTGTAGGAAACCGGACCGGACCCGCCCTCTGTTCTCCTCTGCCTCACACTGAGCCCGGCCACACGCAGTCCTCCCAGTTTCCCATAGGACCGCGGCTGCACAGAGGCAGAGTCGCCCCAGGGAAGGAGGAGAAAGTCTGCACAGTGTGTCATTTGGACCATTCTGCAGTGTAGAGACGCAGAGTCATCTGAAACTAGTGGTAACAATGGGTTTGTTTATAGGTCTGTTGAGTTGCTTACCAGTCTGCATTATTTTGTCTTTTGAGCATTTCCTTTTGGACCTGATATTTAGCCCATGTATACATGTTTTCTTTGTAGTAACTTTATGTGTAATTTTCTTCTGATTAATTTTACATCTTTCTTTAAATTTCAAATACTTTAGTTAAAAGGAAACTTTTCAGATGATTTTTTTTCCCAAAGACACTCCAAAAGAGCCTTTAAAATGAAAGAGGTAGGGGCACTTCCTCCTTTCACCACTAATTGTAAACTTCATACACTGAAAACTAAGTAATTCCATTTTTATATGATGGAGGTAATCATTTTTTTTCCAATGTGATTTAACAGGAATGAAACATTGACTGACCCTGTTAATACTGAATTGTTATTGCAGTCAGTGCTGGACGAGATGATGGTGGAACAAACAGATCTTGTGCGTTTGCGGATGGTTAGAATGTCCAATGTGCCAGACACGCTTTACATGGTCGGTAACGCGGTGCCGCAGTGCTGCCACGTGGTCAGCCACCAGCAGATGAGCAGCAGCCAGTCGAGCCCCCCCTCGGTGGTAGCCAACGAAATTCCAGGTACAGCAGGAACCTTGTATGAGGCATTTATATTTAAACAAGTAATCTGATCTTTTTGTAATTCCTTTATATATGCTCATTATCTCCCTGTTCCAATACCCAGTGTGCATTGTTCTTCTCAAAGAATAAATACTTATAAGCTGAGTTTTTTGTTTCAAATTTTATTTTATAGCAACAGGGATATACAGAGTTTGGTTTTGCCCAAGGTTTTCAACCTTGACCCTCTTGACAGTTAGGGCTGGATAATTCTTTGTTGTGGGGACTGCCCCGTGCATTGCAGGGTGCTTAGCGGCACCCTGGCCTGGACTCACTGGACGCCAGGAGCATGCATGCACACGCTCCCATTTATCACCTTTTGGGAACATTTTTACGTTTCTAGACATTGCCAAGCGCACGTGGCAGGGTCCAGTTGCCTCCTGTTGAGAACCGCTGGTTTAGAGGAATTCGGATGTTGTATCACATGGGGTATTTCTCATGTTATAAGACCTGTTGGGAAGAGTACTAGACAGTTACCACTTTGAGTCTACACATGCCCCCCAAATAGGTGGTCAGCATTGGTTTTCTGGAGATCCGGTTTCCGAAGATCTGGTCTGTGAGCCTCACTGTAGTGCGGTCTTAGTCTGCTGATTCAGGAAGGTGGCCACAGGGAGATGCATAGCTGTCCGTGTCCAAAACTGAGCATCCGTAATGTTCACTGTAACCGAGGGGCTCCAGTGTCATTATTTAAGATAGGAAGTGAGCAGTACAGATGGGATCGCAAACCTTTTTAAATTTAGCAGACTATAGCATTTGGAAACTATGGCATATGGAAATGGCACCGTTCATTTTCTGCTTATAAATGTCTGTTTCAGGTAAGGCTAAAATACAAAATGACAACCTGTAACTGAACGATGCATTGTGTCCTGGGACTGATATCTGATCAGTTGTCACCTTATCAGATTTGTCTGCCACATGTTATTTAAAGTAATGTTGGATAACAGTATGAAGAAAAATATTTCTGTAGCTGATTTGTGCAGATCTTGAAGCTTTCATAATTAGCAATGTTTTTTATCATTTTGAGTTAACACTTGAATAGCAACATAATTTAAGTTTAGAACTGAATGTCAGAAGCCCAAGTGTTTACAATTAAGTATGTTTAGTTAGAAAAGTAAGACTTGTCTTTCTGTTGTTTAATTTTTTTCTGTTGTTTTACCCTATTCCGGTGTCTTCCTAATTCTAACTCGCTCACCGCACTCTAATGAAAGGCCCTTTAGCTCACTGGAGAAGACGTGTGGGCTTATGTCCCGGCTCCGCCACTTCATCTGTGCGACTTTGGAAGGGCTGCCTACTTCCCTGCACGTTAATGTCCTTGTCTGCAGAATGGGGGTATCTCATTTCAAGGGTTGTGAAGACTTACGGAAGCACCATGAGTAATGTCCTTAGGAGTTTGCCTGGCACAAAGCAAGAGCTAATTAATAGCTTCCTTTTCACACCAAACAATAATCAGTTTGGCTCATAATGTTTGTAGATTCCGTCCCTTCTGGCCCAGCCCTCTGTTACAGCCGTACTCCAGGTTCCTAACCCATGTTCCTGCTCTGACCTCACTCACTCCCCTTAAGGACTTTACACCATGGCTCAGCATAGTGTTTCTGGGACGTGCTAGATAGTAAACATTTTAGGCTCATGGGTTATGCAGTTTCTGTCACAGCTACTCAACTTTGTTCAAGTCTGCTGTTATAGGCCAAAAGCAGCCAGAGACAGGACCTAAACAGATGGGTGTGGCTGTGTGCCAGTAAAACTTTACTACAAAAACAAGCAACTGGCCTGATGTAGCCTACAGGCCATAGTTTGCCAGGCCTTGCTTGATGCTACTCTCAGAGTGCCCTTAACTACATCTCAGCTCTGATCTTGTCATTCCCCTGTACAAGTGGCTGCCTGTTGTACTCAAGATACAACTCAGTTCCCTTCTTGTGACACGCAGGGCCATTCATGATTTATCCCACCCATCTTTCTAGCCTTTTTTCTAATTATCTTCTTGCGTGTACTTTCGAGCCCTGCATTCTAGCCATGCCAGGTCCTTGTGCCACACTCTCACTTGCATGTTTTTTACACATGCCTGCTCCTTCTGCTCACATACTTTGCCTGCCTGGTTTTCTCCCCTTCTTCAAGACTGTGCTCAGGGTTCACTTTGTCCAGGGGCCCTTCCTGCCTGCCTCCAGTCCCCGCTGGGGCCCCCTTCCTCCACATCCCCCCATAACCTTTGCATGTTTCTCTCTGTGACTGTTTGTGGTCCTGTACTCTACTGGTTTATTTGGTTTACTTCAGTAAAACCAGAGCTACTTGAAGACAGGGAGCTATTTGTTCTACACATCCCAATACTTGAGTCCAGTCTCTGGTGTAGAGAATGAATACATCGTAAAAACTTAGGAAATATCCTGAGATTCAGGAGAGAATGTACTAAAGTAAAGTTTTATTTAGGCTGGGCACTAATGATACAGCTCAGGAGCTGTGTGGTATTATCAAGAGCCTTTTGGGCAGAATGAAATTTTAAAACCCTGGAAAATAATTAGAAGTATATTCAGTACTAAGTTGCCAGGAAATTAAAATATTACCAAAAATCTGTAAGAAGATTCTGATGTAAAACACATGCCTCTTTTTCATGTGCATAATGAGTGGTCTTTTGTGTGGCTCAGGTATTTGCCTACAAACAGTTTTCCCTCTTCCAGTTCCTTGTCTCCTCACTTTGAAAGACATGGTCCGACGTCTGCAGGAGCTCCGGCACACCGAGCAGGTGCAGAGAGCCTACGCACTGAACTGCGGAGAGGGCGCCACCGTCAGCTACGAAATCCAGATTCGAGTACTGAGGGAGTTTGGTCTCGCCGATGCTGCCGCAGAGCTCTTGCAGGTGGGGCCCTGAGTCGCACTGTTCGAGATGGGGGCCTGGACCGCACTGAGCTCTCACAGCACGGGCTTTCCTCGGTCCGAGCTGTTTCACTGCCTCCAGTGTGTTGGCCGACCTGGAGAGGCGGTGTGGGAGAGGGGGCGTGGCGCGGGCTCTGCTGCTTACCAGCTGGGCCACTGGAGGAGTTCCTTACCCGCTCCGAGCATCGGTTTCCTTGTGCGTCCCAGGTTGTTGGGAAGGTGAGAGGCGTGGTATTAGGAAGCAGCTGTGTCTCTTGTATGGAACAAGCCTAGAAATGGTGGCTGCTGACAGTTCACGGTGTACGTGCCCAGCGGAACTGAAAGACGAAGTACAAGCCTGGCCCTTCACTACTGTCACTTCCTGCTTTGGTCACTAGAGTTCAGGTTTTGGCCACTATCATACTCACACTTCTTCCAGACGCCCCTTTTTTTTTTCCTGTCCTCCCCCTGATTACAGGAAATGTTTTGCATGATGGTTCAAACCCTAAAAGCCGTGGAATCAAGAAATAGTTTTTTGGTTTTTGGGTTTGTTTTTTTTTTAAAGATTTTATATATTTATCTTTAGAGGGGAAGGGAAGGAGGAAGGGAGAAATATCAATGTATGATTGCCTCTCATGTGTCCCCTGCTGGGAACTGGCCTGCAAACCAGGCATGTGCCCTGACTGGGAATCGAACCACGATCCTTTGGTTCACAGGCCCAGCCAGGAAGAAATGAGGTTTTTTTTAACTAGCCAGGAAAACACTCATTTCTAGTTATTATTAGGTACAAAAGCAATGGCATTGGTTTTTCGTGAAGCTAGAATTTGTGAAGTATAGTAGTTCACTCCCTTCCACAGGGACACATTTAGAGACCCTCCGTGGATGCGTGAAACCACAGGTGGTACCAGACGAGCCCTTCATGTTCTGTTTTCTCCTGTGCGTACAGCACTGTGACAGTTTCATTTATAAATTAGGCACGGTAAGAGATTAAAACAGTAATGCTAAAATAGAAGAAGCATAGCAGTACACAGTACTGTGATACAAGTTATGTGAAAGTGATCTGTCAAAGTATCGTATTGTACAGTATGCACAGCACAGAGAGGCTGGAGAAAGGGAAGATTCGCGTCCCAGGTGGGATCAGGCGGGACGATGGGAGATTTCTATTCCATATGGTTCACAATTTAAAACCTAAAATTTATTCATTTCTGGAGTTTTCCATGTAGTATTTTTGGACCTTGGTTGACCGTGGGTAATCGAAACCACGGAAAATGAAAACCTCTGTCCGAGGGACACTACTGTAGTTTACTCACAGCCACTAAATCAGAACCTAAAACAAAATCTGATTTTATCTAATCAAGTGATTGGATTGTTTTCTTGCCACAGACTCCAACCCCCTTTGGTGGCCTGGGTCTCCCAGGGAACGCAGTGTGGTGTCTGTAGGCAGGACAGCAGGCCGTTGGTGGTTCCAGATTTTGTTTGCCGGGGTTTTCGTCCCTGCAGGAGTCTCGTTTTAATTCCCGTCCCTTTTCTTTGCCATTCCAAATTGTATGTTAATTTTACGTCTTAAATTACATAAAAGTTTTATGAAGCATTCCCTTATAATGTTTAAACAACTCTTTTCGATACCTGTATGTAGGCTACTGAGGCTACCCTCTCTCTGTACTACTAAGGTAATTTTTTCTTGGAAGCTTCTGGCTTAGAAAATATTTACGCCTTTTATTCTTGCTGAATGTGATTTTCTTAGATCCTCACTTTACTCTCTCAGCCTGTGAGTTTTCATCTATGAAATCTATTAATCTCTTTTTCTTTTTAATCTTTCTTAGAATCCTCACAAGTTCTTTCCCGATGAACGTTTTGGGGATGAAAGTCCGCTCTTGACGATGAGACAGTCTGGGAGATGTCGTGTTAACAGTACCCCCGCTGCAGAAACCATGTTTACAGATCTGGACTCTTTCGTGGCCTTCCACCCACCCCTGCCCCCACCACCACCTCCATACCAGCCCCCAGCTACCCCCATTCATAACCAACTCAAAGCGGCCTGGAAGCAAAGACCTCCCAGTCAGCATCCTTCACGTTCACTTTCTTATCCCTGTAATCATTCACTGTTTCACTCGAGAACGGCTTCGAAAGCTGCCCCCCCCGCAGTCTATCTGCCAGGTGTTAAAGCTGCTGCCCCCGATTGTACCAGTGCCACAGGACTGGGGAGACCCACGGTAGCCGCTGCCTCAGCCTCAGCAGCGACAGCATCTGAGAAGCAAGCGGTAAGTTAGCACTTCGGGAACGTACCTAGTTAAAAAGTTGGTGGAATATCAGAAGCAGTTCCCTGTGCCCCAGAGCCCTCCTGGGACTCAGCAATGCCTGGAACTGGCACTGACCAGAGGAAGCATAGACTTGAGGGTGCAGGAGAGCGAGAGACAATGGGTGGGCACGGAAGGACAAGAGAGCCTGGAGCGCCCCCGGGGGCCGGGGGCGCGGTCAGGTGCCGCCTTGTCTTTATGTTCCTTGGGGAGCACATGGGGTTACGGGGCAGCACAGATGGCTGCTCCCAGTTATGTGTGCTCTCTGCAAGCTGTGTGTTGCTGACTCTCCTGTTCTGTAGAACTGAGCATTCTGCCACACGCTCTGATGGGGCAGGAAGTGTCCTGTCAGGGCCCACGTGGCAGGCGACGACCCCCCCCCCCCCCCAGGCGCAGCCCGGAGCCTGTCTGCCTCCAGCAGGCTGTTCACAGGCTGTTCGGCAGAGCGTGCATTTGGGAACCACAGTGGCCAGTAAATTAAGCCAGAGTGCTTTGCTCGGTTTTACACTGCTTTAGAGGTTGAATTTGTTTCATATAATACATTTAGAAAAAAACAGTTATGCTTGAAAGTCTTCCTGCTCACATACTGTCAGTAGTACCAGTGTAGAGAGAAATAAAAGCTGCATGTTTTAGTTCAGAAAATCTTCATTAAAATGGGGTTTTTTCAACTCTAAGGACTAGCATGCACCTTGGGTCAGTTGTGATCCTTCCTCACCTCATAACCCTTCAGCCCACCCCCTGCTGTGCCTTCGAACCCTCTTCCAAAAACAGAGGAAGCAGCAAAGGTTGGTAGTGTTTGTAAACCAAATCCCCATCCTGTTGGCCTGGCCTGGCCCTCAGTTCTACAATTACAAAAGTTCTACTACTTTATATTTTACCGTTACTTCTTTTTTATTGCTGTTCAGTTATAGCTACTACTTTATATTTTAAATAAAACTCCCTTTAAGGGTAGTTTATTGTATGTTCATTGTAGTTTTAATTATAATAAAACTACAGTTGGCTGTAGTTTCTCAGTTGGCTGGAGCATCGTCCTGTACACCGAAAGGTGGCAGGATCGATTCCTGGTCAGGGCACATTCCTGGGTTGTGAGTTTAATCCCCAGTCACAGCGTGTGTGGGAAGCAGCCAGTCGATTGATGTTTCTCTCTCTCTCTCCCTCCTTCCTCTCTTTCCCTTCCTCCCTTCCCACCTCCTCCCTCACCACCACCACCCCCGAAATCAATAAAGCATATCTTCAAACAAGGATTTTAAAAAAAAGATCTGGAAAGAAAAAAAGAATCGGAAACAGTCTTAATGTCCAACAGTGGGAGAGTGGTTGTTAGGTCAGTCATTGACACAACGCACTATGACACAGTAATTTAAATAGTCATCTCAGAAAATTTGGTGACAATTTATATATACACTAAGTTTCATGATCATTAATGTATGTACAGAGAGAAGAAGGTGAGGGAGACACCTCAGAATGCTAACACGTGGTTACCGTATTTTGCTGTGTATAACGTGCTCCTGTGCATGCATATGCACACCCACAGCTGCGTGTGCGTTGTACACAGGATTAGTACACCCATGGTGTGTAATCGTCATGCCCATGTGTAATGCACACCCTTATTGTTCCGTCAAATTTGGGCGAAGACGGTGTGCATTATACATGGCAACGTACAGTATCTCAGGGAAGGTTAAGATTATTATTATTTTTTGCCTTTAGTTTTCTGTATTTTTCTCTTTCTTAAAAACAAGCACGTATTTTATACTAAGAAAACAAGATCCGTGAACACCATTTGTGCAAGGGCGTCCTGGGCTGTTCTCTGTTAACCCTTCCCCCCTTCTCGCTTCTGTTTGCAGTGTGCACAGCCTGTGCTAAATGACCTAATGCCAGACATTGCCATGGGTGTGTCCACACTGTCACTCAAGGACAGGAGGCTTCCAGAACTTGCTGTAGACACAGAATTAAGCCAGTCAGTTTCTGAAGCAGGACCAGGGCCTCCCCAGCATCTGTCATGTATTCCACAGAGGCATACACACACGTCTCGGAAGAAACACACACTAGAGCAAAAACCAGATGCTCGAGAAAATCAGCAGGAATATCCAGATTTCTATGACTTCTCAAGTGCTGCTTGCAGACCTTCTACTCCCGCTCCTGGCAGACGTACCCCCTCCCCCTCGAAAGGTGGATATTTTGGTCCTGATTTGTATAGCCACAATAAGGCATCACCAAGTGGCTTGAAGTCAGCCTACCTACCTGGCCAGACCTCTCCTAAGAAGCAGGAAGAAGCTAGGAGAGAATATCCACTTTCTCCCGATGGGCATCTACACAAACAAAAGAACGAGCCAATACACCTCGACATTGTTGAGCAACCTCCCCAGCGGTCAGACTTTCCTCTGGCAGCCCCAGAAAATGCTGGCAGCGGCCCAGCGCATGTCAGGGGGCGAACAGCAGTAGAAACTGACTTGACTTTTGGGCTTACTCCTAACAGACCTTCACATTCTGCAGGTAACTCTGAAGCTCCAGAAGAGAGATCCAGTAGAAGACTAGCAGACAGCGAGTCCCTGGGCCTTGGAGCCCAGCGAAACCCAGATTTGGAAAGGGAAGATTCAGTAAACAGAGGAAGGAGGTCACCAAGCAAACCAGACTTCCTCTACAAAAAGTCTGCCCTCTGAGCGCAACCTCCAAGTCGTCTGTGCCTGAGATGTGAAACATCCATTCTATGATGTAACCCAATTACTTAAGAGACCAGTTTATTGATGCCAGCTGATAACTCAGTTTCACATTCTTTTATTCTGGGTTTTGTACATACATGTTTATTAGACGTGGCATGCTGAGAGGGTTGTTTTGAATGCTGCATTTGTCTGTTTTGTGTTTGAGTAATTGTGTGGGGAAGCATTTTTAAGAGCAAGCAAGCTGGCACTTTCTTTTCTTCTTTACAAATGATGGAATTTTTTTGCACTTGTACATTTATTTTATCTGCATTGATTTTGTATCAGTATGTTAAACTTTATTGCCACATTTAAAGGACTGTATTTTCATACTTTTTGCATTTTACTGCTCATCTACCAATTTCCACGTGCATTGGAGTGCACACTAAGATGTATTTTCTTATGAAATAGTTCTGTTTATTTTTTAATTATAGAAATTCCAAAGAACAGCACATCAAAATGCTCCTCTCCTCTCAGTAATCGTTTTGGTTCAGAAACCTCCCTGCGCAGTCTTTGTGTAATGTCGTCATTCTCTCTGAGTCGGTCCTGGGAGCTGGGCGCCTTTCCTCCAGCAGGAGTCCGGTCAGGACCCTGGTGTTTTCTGGTTCCAGGGAGAACAGGAAGGAGAAGCGCCTTCTGTTCCCAGGCTGGAAAGCTGTTGCCGTGTTCACAGTGTGGACGCTGACAGACCTGCTGCAGGTGGTTTGGGCTAGAGAATCAGCCGACGGGAGTCTGGCGGCATCGGATTTCTCTCTATGGGCAGAATCATAAAGCGCGGAGATGGTGGAGTAACTTGCGGTTTGCACTGTAGGATTTCCGGTTCTGAGCGTCGTGGGCTCTCCAGCTGCGATGGGGAAGTGACTGCTTACTGCCTTCAGCTGTCTTGCTCTCTATGGGGAAAAACAAAGACACAAACTAAAGGGCTTCAGTCTTATGGATGTCATTTGGTGTTTGTAAGCATATGTTTTCTTATAAATGTTTTTTAAAGTATGTCTGAATTTTCGTGTCCTATAAAAAGTTGTATAATGCATAATGCTTTGTCACCAAAAGAGAAAACCCATTGTTTTCCAGTGGAACACTACACGTCCTACTTGAACTCCACTCGGGACGCTGGTTTGGGACTTTTCTGAACCCCTGAGCACATGGGATCTTTTAAGGTCCTCTCCCTTGGAAGGGCAATGTGTGAGCTAAGGACTTTTTTTCTTACTCTCCAATGTAAATATATTAGTATTTGAGTTTTTAAATCACGTCAGCATTGTTTGAGCTTTCACTTTGTATTTTTACAGACACACAACACACAGCTGTAGCACTTAGAAGAAAAGAGACTTTCTGCACATCCCCTCCTGGGAAGGGTGCTTGGGAGCCTCTTTTCTGTGTGTGTGTGTCTGTGTGTGTGTGTCTGTGTGTGTGTGTATAAATATATATATATATATAAATATATAAACTACGAATCACTGACACTCTAAAACTATGCAGGGCTAGGGAGCCTTTACAAGCTACCATATAAATTAATTACATGCACTTTTAAGTCAGTAGGTTTCTCTTGGGTATCAACAGCTCTGATTTCTCCCGAAACTGTAGATTCTCTTACAGTCTTTTCATACTTTACCCTGTGGATATACACTCAGGAATAATCTGACATTTTAAACAATCCTAACAGTAGATCGTCTCAAAGACGGGAAACCCGTCAGTGTATCTGCGCCTGGGCACGCGGCAGCCGTGGTGAGTGCGCCCGGCCCGGGGGCGGCGTCGCCCCCGGAGCACCAGAGCTCACACCAGTCTGCCGTGAGGTCGGCCGAGCATCGCCTTTGAGGCTCCCTTTTTTAAAGATGGAAAAACATAGGACTCTGTTCTCCTTTTTAGGAGGTTTGACCCTTACACAATGGTGTCTTTTGAAACTAGTCTCAGTCTGTCTCTCTCTCAGAAACAGAAATTGTTAAGGCCATTATACTCCTTAATGTGTGTTTAATTATTTTGATGTAGTTTTAAACGTCTGTTCTGATTCAGTGCCATGCCGGTACTGCAAATTAGGGTGGGAAAAAACTCTTGTTTGGGACCTTTTAAAAAATATATTAGACAAGAGCTATTTATGCCATACATCATTTTCCTGAAAATTTAGTAAATATTCTTTGATATCTCTGAAGTGTAATTATAAAAATAGCCACTGTCCATAATTTTAATTTATGAAATTTGCTTTTAATAATTTAGTAGCTTACCTAGCTGAACTCTGTGTAAAGAGAAACTGGCTTTAACCTAAGGGGTCGCGGACTGACGTGACTTGCAGAAGGTAAACAGGTGGTGGCTGTGCGTGTTCCAGTTGGTGTCGGTGGGCATCAGTGTGACTTGTGAGGTAGTGTCACTAGGGTAGGTCGAGTAGCTATGTGCCTCTGCTTTTTGAACCCATCTATTCAATCTTTTTTAATGCTTACGTAAGCATTACAATCTTTTAATGCTGTACTAAGATAAATGTGAAGTCTGAGTAGGATTGCTCTCAGAAAAAAAAAGTGTATAATAAATGTGGCCACAGGACCTGGCATTGCGCTTGGTGTAGACGTTTCCCAGAACCACATGTCGGAACACCGGCCCTCAGGCGCAAGGCCCTGGACAATCAGGCCGAAGACAATCGCCACCCTGGGTGCCCGCCTTGTTGAGCTCAGAGAACTGCCACTTCGATCCTGGGCCGCGACGAGATCGAGGTTTCTTCAGGATGCCACTGGTCTGTTATATTTCTTTCAATTTTGTGATTTTGATGACTAATTTAAGTTCGAAGTCACCCGTGACTCCTAATGGAAAAAAGTAGCATAAAAGGCAAAAATTCCTCCTGGAGAACGGCTGCACGCCTCTTCCGCACACCACGCCCCCTCTAACGTGCGCCGTCTGCTTTTTCCAGGCGCACAACCCTAGGCCTCCTGAGCTCTCCCGACAGTTCGATGAGCAGTTAGATTTTAAGGATTTTTAACTAGGTCCTTTTATTTTAGTCTCTCTGTAGAACTCTCTGAAACGTGACCTAATTCTTGTTTTTTGCTTCCTCAAAATCTGTTTTTACTACATTTGCCATCCTTTATTAGGTTTTCTTTTGTTGTTCAGGTTCTAGCAACAGGCAGGGCGTCTCCCTTTGAACCGTCACGGTGGTGGCAGGCGTGGGAGGGGAACAGCGTGTGCGGCAGCAAGGCCTGCACGTGCCGGTCTCCGGAGACGAGGTAACATTTCTCAGTAGCTCAGCAGAATCCGTGTTTTTGTAAGGTTTAGTCCACTTTTAGGGGGAAATGCATTTCATCAAACACTTGTGAGATGCTGGTTTAGCGATCTTAAGGCATTCTCATTTTTGTCCTCGGACTTAACTCAAAGGGATGGTTAGTGGACTTTTAAAAAATTAGTTGATTTTCAACTTGCTATTGAAAGTTACTATTAAAGCAGCAGTGATGGGTGCTATTCCCGATTCTGCAGTGGTTTACTTTGCCTACTAGGTAATTTACTTTCAAACCTCATTACAGATCCTTATTGAAGAGTTACCGTCACACACTAAAAGGTATTTTAGTTTACAATTTCCCATTAACACTCTTGTATCAACATATTATGAATATACAGTTGTCTTTGATAAATTGCAATAGCTGTTATGTAATTATACTGGCAAGTCTTTTATTTTTTCCTTTAAAAACTCAGACCGTGTATCAATCTTCCATGTTCTGAATACCATAATGCCGCGGCCATTTCTATAGAAAGAGTACTTGCAAGGGTGTCTTGAAAATAACCTCTGGTGTTCATGTGTTTACGTGGGTTCTCAGAGGCAAGGTGAGCTCCGGAAGCCTCGCGGTGCACCAGCACGCGGCCGAGTCTCCGGAGCAGGTGGTCGGGGAGGCTGGGAGGCAGAGGTTCCTGAGCTCCACGTGCCGTTCACGTGCCACGTCTAGACTTCGCAGAGGTGGCAACACTGCATTTCTTGTGGTTGTGCTGTTACCAGTATAAAGTCAAGTGCCTTCGACGCTAAAGGCTCAGAAATTTTTCTTAAACTGATTTCATGTCCTATGCAAGTGTTTTCTACAACCTGCATAACCAGTACTTTGTAAAACTTGTTTACGCTTCAATTGTACATAGTGTTTTTTAAGGAAATATATAGTATTTTTATTTAGGTACCTTCAAACTTGAATTTGTCTGTGTGAAGCATTGTAAAACGATACATTTCTCTTTTGAGCATCATTACAGTTGTACAAAGGTTTTCACTGGTTCTATTTTTCTACTGTTACTGATAAGCATGTAACACTGACTTTATCCTACATATAGTTGGCATTTCAAATAAATGGCTTGTATAGAACCTGCTGAGTTGGATGCAGTCTGTTGTGGCAGTGTAGCCTGCCGTCCTCAACTCCAGAAGCGATTGTACCCTCTCGGGTAGAATCGTGAGGTGTTCTGCACAAACTCCCCATTTCTAGGACTTCTGTGTTTCAGAGACTTTTTATAACCTATTGTGGTTTTCTTGGAAATACCTTTTCATCTGAGTTGAGGTCATTTTATTTTCTACTTTTTCATTGGGGCATTTCTGAGCAGTTTTATTTCATAAATTTGAGCAAAAAGTTACTTGCACAGGGGTCTCCAGGGGAAGCTCAGCATCCCGTGCTGTGGACTCTGCACCTGCAACGTGCCAGGTGCTGTGGTCAAAGACCCAGGCGAACCCCGAGATTCACAAGCCTCAAGATGTCTGAGGCCTGGCTTAGATGCTGAGTTTTTTTTTCTTTTTCGAACTCAGGCTTAGTATTTTTCAACTTGAAAGGGAAGTCATGATCTAGGGTCCACGTTTCTGAGAAACATGCAAAAATGGTTCTCTAATTTTCATTTTTAATTGTCATAAAATAGCTGTTTCTATTTATTTTAACCATTTTACTAACGAGTTCCATCTTTCATGCCTCACTAAGGCAATTCTTTGTATTTTGTAACCATCTCAGGTTTAACTGGAATAACGACAAAATACAAGGTCTTTGTGAGTGAGCGTATTAGAAATCTGAAACGGAAGTCAAGTCCACTTTCCTGTCTTTACTTGAGGGGCGCCCTGGAAGAGGGCGCTCAGGCGGGCTTCCCTCACCACCCCACCGTAGGCCCCCCAGGAATGGGAATACGGAGCAGCCGACAAAAAGCAGACAGGATATTTTTTCTCAGAAACTTTCCAGTGTAGTTGGAAATGACATTTGTCCTAGGAACAATCAGAACAAAACTTAGCAGTAGGAGGCTCATGGTTGAGCAGGAAGCCGGCTTGACATGGCCCAGGAATGAATGCCAGGAGAAATATGCCGGTTTGACTACTGTTTTCTTTAACCCCCCGTTAATGACACACAACTGTTAGTTCCACTTTCCAAGTGAGGAAGCCGAAGCGTGGAGATAGAGTAACTTGTCCAAGGCCATGTGGCTGGTAAGCAGGCGGAGCCTAGGTGCCAGCCCTGAAGTGTGGCAGCCCAGGAGGAGAGAACACATCATGCAGGGGTCAGGGGGAGGCACAACTGTGGCGTTCGTTCATTCAGCCAACATTCATTCAGCATGTACGCAGCTTCTACCTGTCGGACTCTGCTAGGGCAGAGGTGACAGTAACAAGACAGTCACAGTCCTGCCTATAACAATTTTAGGGTCTCGGGGAGGAAAAGCTATTGGACAATTACAGAGGTGATGCCCAGTGCTTCAGGGGAACAAATGCAGGGCCAGTACAGCTTTGGCCCAGTGCCAGATGCTGGATGCCCACTCAGTCCAAGGCTTGTGTCTGGCAGCTGCTTGGGGGTGACCCAACTGGGAGGCAGCCCCACTGGCTCCTGGGAGCTCTGCTGGGTTTGTTTCCTGCCCTTCCCACACTCCCCAGAAACTCTCCTTCCACAGGGAGCTGAATCAGGCCACTGCCAAGGTCCAGCAGTCATTTGGGCTGCTTTCAATTTCCTTAAGTTGCACGAGGGACCTTTGGGGGAACTGGGAGAACTGCAGTTTTCCTGGGGCTGATAATTACATAAGCCTGCATTTTCAGACAGGCAAGCACTTCATTCACCTGAGCGTAACTCACAGGGGCAATGACCACAAGTCCGAGCAGCGTCCAAAGGAGCGAGAGCTGGGGAAGGCCAAGCATGGGCCTCTGCCTTGGCTTTTCGGTTTGCTTTCCATGTACTTCTGAAGTAATGGCTACCATGTAGGTGCACCACAGCTTTTCCTTAGAGGTGGGCTCCTAGCTAGCTCTTCTGCACCTGAACAGATTGAGATCGCTCACAACCCAAGCCCATTTCTTTGTTCTGCTCACCTATGTCCCAAAAGGATTATGGAACTCCCTCCCCAGTGTTGTAAACCCAGGGACTTCGGGTCAGGCCCTGTCTTATGAAATAGCAGGAGACGAACCAGCCCCCCTGCCCGGACAGGACCCCAGGGCAGTAGCTGCTATTGGGACGTATGTGCACTCATTTTCACATAGATGGCAATGGGAGGCTTGTATATATTTGAATGACAAGCAATCAAAGCCACTATTTTGAATTGGTTTTATTTAATTTTACAGAAACCTGATTGAAGTTTAGTATGCAATTATAAGTCCAGTAACAATTCTACAAAAATGGACATACAATGCCAGAATTCCTTAAAAGCAACTAATATCATACTCTTCTTTTGCATAAAACATGCATTAACTGCCACATGTTGGCCAAAATCAGTCTCTACAAGAAGAGACGGTCCCATACAGTCAATAAGAAAACTAGTTGTGAACAAAGGTAAAAAAAGAGGTTTTCTGGTTAATGTAAAAGAAGGAACAGTACCTTTCATAAAACAAGCCCTTCGGCACCAGGTGATTGGTACTGTGGTTCAGCAGTGCGTCACCTCTGAGACCTGGTCCTGACCTGTCCTAAGAAGGAACTTCCGGTAGTCAAACGTTTGAGAAGGTACACATTTTCAGGCCACAACCATCCACTACTTGAGCAACCTTGCAGGGGGATCGGGGGTGTGGAAGTGCAGAAATCCTTACTTGGGAGGAGTTCCCCAGCTGCAGACTCCATGTCAAAGACACCCCGACCTCCAACCCAGGCGGCTGACCCCTTCTCTACAAGGCCAGCCAAAGGCGCGCATCTCCTGTGGACGTAGGACTTCCAGCTCCACACGAGGCTCTTCATGAGGACCTGTGATTAGACGTGACGCAGAAAAGGATGGGAGACTAGTTCTCGTTCATCTCATTCGGAGATCGGTGGGTACTTGTCTAAGTGGCTGCTGAACACACAAAGGAGTATTTTAAACACTCGTGGCCCCAGTCTCACACACTTGTCACACACCTCCAAGAATCATCTATTGCCAAGAAAGGCCTCCTCCCTCTAGAGGGAGAGTGCAACTGTATCGAAAGGTGTTTTCCACATTGACTGAGGGACTTTAAGATTTCAAACCAGCTGCAAGGACTTCCCTTCAAATACGGGGTTTTAAACATTCCACGAGGTTCTTCAAAACATCTCCCAGTCATTAGGGAACCAGCCATGGGCATTAACACTTATATACATAAAGCTCATCATCTGCGCAGCCTGGGGTCTCGTCTGGAATCTTCCACACACCCTGCCTCTTCCAAAACAGGGCATGTGCTGCCCTGCTCACTACAAGTAAGCTAAGCCAGTATCTTTTTTCCTTCAGCACAACTTAAAGGGAAAAATAATTTATTGGGATTCTAATAACATTTTTATAACAGAACAATATCAAAATAGGTGTTTTTAATATATGCTTAGAGTATCCCTGATAATACAAAGAAACCCAGAGGCCTCTGTAAACCACCAAGGTCTCCCGGGGCAGTGCCGGTCTGGTTTCTAGGCGGAGAAGAGGGCCCTGTGCTGGCGCGCTTACTCAGGAAGCCCCGGGAGCACGGCAGTGCTGAATCCGAATGTGCCAGTGCCGGCAGAGCTGTGAACGAGACGGTCACTTTAAATTTACTAGTAAAACTCGTATCAAAGTTTGGCTTCCTCAGTCCTGCCGTCGGGCAGTCTCCTCGCCCGTAACAGACATCCAGGCCACAAACCCAGCAGTCCTGGCTACTCCAGAGGATGGGCCCAGAGGAAACAAGTTTCCAGATCCTTCTAAGCAGTGACCAAGCCTCAGAAAGGAGGCATGTGAGAAACGGAGCAGATCAGGCTTGAGGAAGCTGTGAGCCAAGGCACCACGATCATAGGGGTGAGGGGACCTAAGAGGTTCTCACCAACGGGAATATGCCCCCAAAGCAGGTCCTGGAAGACAACAGCTCTGTGGCAGAGTAGACACTTTCGGGAGTTAAACACCGAAAATTTAGAAGAGAAACTAGTTTACTTTCTCAAAACCAAATGAAACTTCTTAAAAGTTAAAAGCAAATAACCCTGGGTAGACACGGGGAATTGTGGGGGCTGAAGTCTGTGGAACGAGCTGCTTCTGGCTGAGTCAGGAGAATGCTGGTTGTGAAATCAGCACAAACGCTGTGGCCACTGCAGCCGAGGAGTGAGGGAGCTCAGGGTCAGGGGAGGAGGCCTCTCCAAAGAGACGGGAAGAGGAGCGACCGTGAAACAGGCCTCTTTTATTCCTGGAACAGTAGGTGGCACTGTCCCCGGCCTGGGCGCGAGGGCGCACACTCCGCTCTAGCTGCAATAGTACTGCATCCCATCCACTCTTCTTCTCTTCTTTGACTGAAATTCTTCAAAGAACTGCTGGATGTCCTCTCTCTTTACAACCTGTTGATGAAAAGCAAAGGTTAGGAAGGGGAACTCTATCACAATAGCAATACGCAGTCCCAACATTCACAGACAGGCCAGACAATCCCGCTGGTAAGAGTTATTTCAGTGAGTAACTGGGTAGACTACCTCCATTTCACAGAGTTCACCCAGGACCTGCTCAGAGCAGCACGTGGTGCGCAGCACGTGGCGAGCAGCACGGGCCCCACCACCGCACTCGGTTCCGTCGTGCACAGTACGGTACAAGCAGCACCTACGCGACGGGGTCATTTGAAGAGACGAGAAATAATGCCTGCAGAACATCCTGGCACACAGTAAGGTCTCCAGGTCAGGGCACACGGCTGGGTTGTGGGCCAGGTCCCCGGTTGGGGGTGTGTGAGGCAACCGATTGACGTCTCTCTCCCTCCCTTCCCCTCTCTAAAAATAAATAAATAAATAAAATTTTTTTAAGTGTCAGAGCCAGCGCAAAAACCGAGCACTCGACGATCTCCGACAAGACCGCGCTCTGCCATCCACAGCTTTCTGGGGATGTCCTTCGGCTCTACATAAGCATTCACAAAAAACAAACGAAAAGTAAGTTTATCGTTTTGAGATTTGTGCTTTCTTCTTTTCTGGAAAAAAAAAAGGACCTAAAAACTTTTCTCTCTTCAAGAGTCTAAAATTAAAGATGCTTGCATATAAATAATAATAATAATAATAGTAACTAGCAAAAATTATAGAAGCACTACTCTTAGGAAATGGATATCCATTTTATGCAATAAAAATGAGAAATTTATATTCCACTGTATTGGAAAAAGGATTGGAGCACGATACAAAGGTGCCCATGATATAATCAAAACAATATTAAAAGAAAGAAAATAAGACAAAGGGAAAACATGCATGAAAATTAAACTAGGACAGCCCAGGAGTCCCTCGTCACCCCGAGAGCCAGTCTGGCCAGCGATCCAATCTAAAGCTATCTAACGGCCATCAGGAGACAGGTTTAATTACTTTTTAACTATGAAGGTAATACGTGCTTATTGTTATGAAGAAATTAAGGTGGGGCAGGAAAGAGAGAGGAAGCAGTAAATAGTTGTGAGCAAGAGGGAGAAAGGAGGTCAAGTACATGGGAATGAAATGAAAGCTCCAGCTCTCCCTCCCCAGGGGTCAGTGCTGCTAACACATGCAAACAGCAGGCTAACTTGGAGAACTTCCTGGGGGCTGAACATGATTACCCTTGGTTCCAGTGAGAGCAGGTGAGCCTACACTAACCAGCGGAGAGCCCTCTCGACAGAAGTAGTAACTCTGTAAAACTCAGTTGTGACACAGACACCATTTTGAATGCTACATGCAAAGTTGGTTCTCCAATTCTTCCCAATTTCATATATTGTAAAATCAACATGAACGGTTGTTACTGAAATCAGTATCTGAAAAAGGAATAAATAAAATTAACAAGCAAAAAAAAAAAGAATGACTTAAGAACTGTCGGGAAGCAGGAGGATACTTTCAGTGACAGTGAAGAACACACTTCGAAAAGTGAGAAAACTATTTAAGAGAAGGCTCTTTTAACTTCTGAGTTTCCTATTCACTGTGCAGAGAGGCAGCACTGCGACCCTGCCCAATTAGGCGGCTGCAAGTTCTTCTGTTTGTGAAAAAGAGGAAAAGGACCTGACGTGGCCTGGTGGAGACTCCTCCTCGGAGACCCTCGTCTGACTGGTTTGCGCGTCTGGCTGTAACAGAGGAAAACATACACTGTCCCTGAGGATAAACCTTGGGCCATGAAAAGAAAAGGTAAATTTTGTTTTATATCTGCCTTAGGAAGAGAGAAAAGTAGTTAAGGAAAAATTCATCACAGACACACAAATAGCAAAGGGCTAGGAAGTGCTTGTACATTCACCTGGACCACAATTTAAAGTGTCTCACTCGGCAGAGGCAGCGACCCCCTTACGAGTACACAGATTTTCTCGCTGGCAAGAGAAATGTTTTAGTCCCTGATCATAAAGCTCTTTTACTTTATAGGACCCAGAATCCCCAAAATGTGGCCTGGCTTTAAATTTGTCCTGCCTGGTCAGTTTTCTTTCCTCTTCCAAGGACCCTTACTTGAATGAGGGTAAGGCCAGCAGAACCCATGTGGCTGATCCGGCAGCCTCCTCCTCAGCTACAACTCCTCTCCCCAGACCCTGGGTGACGGCTCCGCCCTGCATTCCATCCAGCCCGGGGCTGGCAAGGACGGGGAATGTGGCCGGTCTGTGGGTGTTCGCCACCTCTTACTGACATCCGTTAGCTCTGCCTCATTAAACTCTCAAGTATCCAGTTTATTTTGTGTTTTTTTTTTTAAGATTTTATTTATATTTAGAGAGAGGGAAAGGAAGGGAGATACATCAATTGGTTGTACGCCAAGTGTGCCCTCTCGAGTGTGCCCTGTACTGGGGACCTGGCCCGCAACCCAGGCAATGCCCTGGCTGGGACTCAAACTGGCAGCCCTTCGGTTCACGGGCCAGCATTCAATCCACTGAGCCACACCAGCCAGCACTAAGATGCACATTTTTTTCAACAAAGAAAATAAAATTTATTCAAAACATGCAAGGCTATGATTAAAATTTTTTAACTCAACTTACTGTTCCTTCATCAGCAAATCTCTTGAGATAGTCTTTCAGTTCCGTCTTCAAATCATTATATTCTAAATCAAAACAGCAAAATGGATAAGCTGGCTGCTTTTAGAAACAATTTTACCACTAACATTTAAGTATGTAGTTTACATTTTAGTTAATAATTTAGTTTTTTTAGTTAATAGTTCCAATTTTTCTTTAAATGAAACCTGCAAAAGAATCTTTTCCCAGTTTCTCCCAAATTCCTTCATTTTGTTAAAAAAATTTAAAAAACAGAGAAAGAAAACCTCACTTCAAAAGAGATTACCTAAAGATTTCCTATCTCTCTGGGATTCTAATATTTGAAATCACCTCAGATTTGGCAAACAATAAGTTTTCAAGTTTGTTCGCCACTCGGCCATTTGTATTATTTCTGAAGCACCTTAAGGGCTACAAAAATCGTTTATATGCAGGCACCGTCCTCGAAAAGCTTTCAGTCTAATAAAGGCCAAAGGACATTCATCAAATAGTTACAAGTGAAAGACAAACAATCGATGCCATACAAGGGGCACACAGGTGGCAGCATCCCCGTAGACGCTGGTGGGACAGCAGTCACTGAAATGAGTGGCCGGCGTGGGGGATGTGAGAGCCTGCAGTGAGAGTGTAGGGCGCCTTTCCCCCCGGGTCTGCCGTGCGCCACTGCAGCGTCCTCCAGAACTGTCGGAAAGGTAGCATGCAATACTCCGTGCAAACTAGTTTTCATCGGATAAAAAAGAAATTCCTTCTCTAATACTCTTTACTCACACATCGACCCTTAATCAAAAAACAGCACATGCTGTGGCTTCTCAAGCACGTAATTATTATTCCTGCAGGTATCTGATTTGATGGTACAGCAACTGCACACCCAGCAACATTTCCCTTAGGCAGGTACAGCTGAAATCTACTACAAAACTCCAAATGTAAACTTCTTTATAGTAATTTAAAACAATAGGTATTAGATGTCCTCCTTATACATAGATTTTTCAATAGCCAAGGAAACTGTCAAACATCATGAATTCTCACACTCAAACAGAATTTACCACAAATAAGTTCCACTTGTTGGACTCTGTTCATGCTGTTGAGGGTGTCCATTAGAGGGTCTGTCCTGTCGGCTGCCTGGTCAACCTTGCCCTTGTTTTCATAAGCCAACACGGTGTCACATTCATCTGTCAGGAACAGGACATCGAGATCGCCATACATTTTCTTTAAAAAAAATAAAACCAGTTTCCCCATTAGAGAGCATGTTATTCTCAGAAAGTCAGCCTCATGAGAATCACTAAAAATTTGGATCTTTTTAGATTAACTGCAGAAAAACCTGAGCCTTTTAACAGAATTGCTTGAGTGATTTACTTTTTGCCCAGATCTTTTAGAAATCTCCCAACTTCCTAGCAGATACTGTATAGTCTAAGAGATCTTTACTTAAAAACTAATGACTTACTGTAACTCTCAAATAACTTGTTTTCAAGCAATTCTACAATCTAAAAAAAGCTAAGGATTGCTATTTTTCCACTGAAATGAAGATAAGTAAATAAAAATAATTCATAGTTCTTCATTTCTTCCACAAGCATTTATACTGCAAATACTATTTCATAAATTTGCTTAATACAAAAATTTTGAACTTGTCTACACTCGTAACATCAATTTCATAAATACACTTTTCAGATGTTATTTTAGGCATTAGTCCACAAAACATACTAACACTGCATTCGCTCAGGCACTTACCATACAATCTTTGCAGGTACACAGCTTCCTGCGCCAGTTCAGGGGCCAATAGGTGGCAGTGTCTTTCTTCATGAAATGCTTCACTTTAAGCTCCTGAAGTCTGCAGCCAGACTGTGATTCTGGGTTGAGACACTGATTCTTAAACACTGTCTGAAATGAAAGTTTTAAAGTATGTTTTTTAACCTATCATAGTTTACATTTATAAGAAGATTTCTTTAGGCAAAGTATATAATTGAAATCCAAAGCTATACAGCTTACAAAATTAATTTTGGTTAAGTTTAGTTTCTTTTCTGGCTCCTTCTTCATTACCTGGAGATTAGATTCAGAACTAGAGCTGGTACATGGTTCATTCGTCTGCTCCGTTTTAACTTCCTTGACAGCATCCTTTGCATGTTCTGCAACATCTTCTTTAAGGATACTATCTTGATGACCTCCATTTTCGGGTTTGAAAACTTCCTGATCACCTACTCCATCGACATTCAGAGCCAACCCATCATCCTCAGCAGACAATTTGGTTACTGTAGGTTCAATAAAAAAAACACCACCACACACATACACATTTATCCACAGACCTATTAGGCAATGAAACCACTTCACCTGATTAAAGCTATCTCAGCCCTGGCTAGTGTGGCTCAGTAGACTGAGTACCACCTATAAATGGAAGGGTCGCCGGATTGATTCCTAGTCAGGGCACATGCCTGGGTTGCGGGCCAGTCCCCAGTTGGGGGTGTGCAAGAGGCAACCGATGGAAATTGTCTCACACATCAATGTTTCTCTCCCTCCCTTCCCTAAAATGAATAAAATCTTTAAACAAAATTCTGGACTGAACATATACATTTGTCTGGGGCACGCCGACCCCACAGACACCCACCTGCCAGCTGTGCCGCATAGGCCCACAGGAAAGAGCAGCGCGCCATGCAGGCCTGGCACACCATCTCCTGGAAGTCCCCACTCTCGGGGGGCGCGGCACCGAGGTGCTATGAGCACAGAAAGCTGAGTTATTTTCCTTGTGACCCCACACTGTCCAAAATGCTCACTGTTTTATAAACAAGTATCGCAAAAGGACACTGATCCTATCTTTATTGCATATTTTTAGGAAAGTAACTATAATGTAAAATACAACACAACTCAAAAAGAAAAGACCTTTTCTGCTTTTGTGAAGACAATGGCCTTAAGAGGCAAACACTCTCCTTACCCTTCCATGGAACCAGTCTTCACAGACCACGCACTGTATCATCTCATCTGGAACCTAACATGGAAAAGCAGTTTGAATGTTAGCGATCACACTGAATTCCGGGCCACGGAAGTCAATCTGGCACGCTAAATTATGTATTAATGGCTTCTCTACTCAATCCGTGAGACCACTGCCGGTGGGATTATCCAAGGAGACAGGAAAGACAGCAGATCAAGGGACCGAGGGAGGCTCCTTCTATATGAACTGGGGCTGCAGAAGGGTTATGGTGTAATAAGCAGTTTGCAAACAAATGACAAAGTTCTTTCACGAGTTACTGAACACCTGACTCTCACAAAACTTTATAAATAAGGAACGTATCCTCATTTTATATAGAAGCCCAGGGAGGTAATATGAACTAACCAACACGGAAGGAATATGACAACTGGGACTTTTTACCACACCACGCTGTCAAGTTACTGAAAAGTAAATGTCACCATCTCTTGATAATATGGACAGCAACATTATATACCATGGGGCACCAAGTATTTTTAGAATGATTTTCCTTTTAGTCCCAGGCTTTTATAGCTATTGATTAACATTCCAATGTTATTCTGTCTGTTCTCTATTACTGGTATCTTACAGGAAAAAAACCCATATATATGTGTACATACATACAGATATATTAAAAAATCAGCTTTATCCTTTTTTCTGCCTTGATCAGTTTGTTTTTTAAATCCTCAACCGAGGATTTGCTTATTGATCAGAGAGAGAGAGACAGACACTAATGTGAGGGAGAAAACATCAACATGGTGCCTCCTGTACGCGTGCCACCTGGGCATTGAACCCGAAGCCTAAGTGTGTGCCCTAACTGGGAATCAAACCTGCAACCTTTTGGTGTATGAGACAATGCTCCAACCTGGCTGAGCCAGGTGGCCAGGGCTATCTTCATTCTTATGGGTTACACTATTACAGATGTCCCTATCCCACCCTCCCTTTGCCCACTGCCACCCAGCCCTTCCCCTCTCTTCTCAGCCCATCACCATGCTTTCGTCCAAGTCCACGGATCACGTACATATTCTTTGGCTAATCCCTTCACCTTCTTTCATCCAGGCCCCCCCCCCCATCTGACAGCTGTCAGTCTGTTCCATGTATTCATGCCTCTGTTTCTGTTTTGTTCATCAGTTTATTTTGCTCGTTAGATTCCACATATAAGTGAGATCATGTGGTATTTGTCTTTCACTGACCTGATCAATTTACTGACTCAAAAAAAGTGGTATAAAATTTTATGCCATACCTAAAATATTCAATTTTAAGGTTTTATCATTGTTAACTTACAGATCTTTAATTTTTTCCTCTAAATAATTTGGTTCAATAATTAAAATTCCAAAACAAAAGAAGATGGCAAAAAACTAATTTAATAAAGACTCCTTTCAAATCAATAAATACATAAACAAAACCCAACCCAGTGACAGCATGGGCCAGATGTGAAAGTACAATTCAGAAGGTTATTACAAATTTCCAATAAACTCATGAAAAGATGCATAATCTCACTCATGATCAAGGAAAGAAAAATTTTTAAAGATAATGTTCATCTATTAGAATGGCAAAATTTAAAAAAACGTAATATGCAAGGATGATAAGACTTGGTGAAAAAAACTATCACATATATTGGTGGTTAAACCCTTTTCACAGACATGATCACAATTATTTATATATATATATATATATATATATTTTTTTTTTTAATTTAAAGATTTTATTTATTTATTTTTAGAGAAAGGGAGGGAGAAAGAGAGGGAGAGATACACCAATGTGTAGTTGCCTCTCATGCACCCAACTGGGAACCTGGGCTGCAACCCAGGCATGTGCCCTGAGAATTGAACTGATGACCCTTTGGTTCATAGGCTGGCACTTGATCCACTGAGCCACACCAACCAGGGCTGATCACAATTTTAAATACAGACATCCTTTGACCCATCAATTCTACCTCTAGGTATCCATTCTACATAAATCCTGCAGGAGTTCACTCATTTAATATTACTGTGTAAGTAATAAGTGTGTTCACTACAGTAGCCTTCTTTATAATACTGAAAATAAAAATGCTGTTCTGCTATAGAATACTTAGGTAACTAACTAATGGCTTGTTAAAGATATATTGATAAGTGAGAAAAGTTACAGAAGTGAATGTACAGATTTTCACTTTTGTTAAGAGAAAAGGAAACAATAAACTGAAACACACATTCACTCACTTATATGTGCACAGAAAGACATCTAAGATATATGCACCCAAAAAGTGTTAACAATGGTTATGTCTGGGAGAAAGAAGGTACAGGCATGAGGAAAAACTTTAAAAATTTTGTGTGTATTTCTTTTTTTGATTATAGAGAGAGAGGCAGGGAGAGAGAAATATCAATTTGTTATTCCACTTATTTACACATTCACCCTCTCCCTAAAGGTTGCTTCTTACACATGCCTTGAGTGATAATTGAACCCGCAACCTTGGCATATTGGAACGATGCTCTAACTAACTGAGCTTCCCAGCCAGGGCAAATTTTATGTATATCGAGAACTGAAAAATTTTAAAGGATCATTTAAATACACTCTTTCCTTCCAGGGAGGCAAGAAACTGAGGGTCCTTTTTGGGGATGTGTTTCGGGGAGTAGAGCAAGCAGGCAGGCAGAGGAAGGAGCAAAGTGCTGGCTTTGGGAAAGTCCTATTCAGCACTGCATTCTCGTGATATAAGAATGAGAATAGCTGAGATCTGTACCAGTATCAAACCCAGCCCAGACTCATCGAAAGGGATAAATCCAGAATCCTTCACAATCCCCTATTTCCCCTAAATAGCTACAAAGGCCCAGATACACCAGGAGGCTGAGGAGTGAAGGCTAGAGACGATACAGTTCCAAATGTTAACTCCAGTTCTCCTACCTCATCTTCAGGATCAGGATAAGGTCTCTTGCAAATGCAATACAATCCAAAAAAGTTGTCATTGTACTTATTGCCAGAATTTATCTTTGCTTTGTCCTGAAAGATATTAATTCCAATACAATAGGTTCTAATATTAACTGTAATTTCATACATCATGACATTACTGCATTCAACAAGTTTTTGCATTAAATATGCAAAGAAAAAGCATTCACTCCTATTAAAGGGACAGTTTTTCCAGGACACAGGAGACAAATAATATTCATTTCTGTACCTTCTTTGTAGTAACTGGGGGAAAGTAATATATTCATTTAATATAAAATAATAAAAGTTAATAAATATTTATTAATTACTAATCTATATAAAATGACATTGGTCTAGAATTTCAAAGTACTTCTTAACAGCCAGCTGTAACAGCTAAAGTCCCCAGGTCACTAGGAGGTAAAAATAAAAACAGACAAGAAAATTGTCTAAAAATAACCTTTAAAGGAGAGAAAAGCATAATAGTTTTAACAATTATGACTGAATACTATAAAATCCCTTTCTTTCATTTGTTACTTCACTAAGTTATTGCATGAGTGTAGTTTTTATTAGCCAAAAAGCAGTGAATACTTCTTGTGTGCATCAAGCCCACATTCATTATCACCAAGGTCTATTTTACCCAAGTTTTTAGAGTCATAGCTTTTGCTGTGAAAGCCTTAGAGCATGAACACAACCAACACGATCAAACCTGAATCACTGCAAAGAACATCCCCCAAACGTTTCATGTTAATTACAACCTATACTGTAGGCTCTGAACAGCTTACTTAGTTCTCTAATAGGATAAAAAATGGAGTCTAATACTGATTTGCCCATTTGCAAAGAATAAGCACGAGAACTTCCTTTTGGGAAAATGTTTGGTTTTTATCCACTTTGTCAAATATCAATTTCAGCTATTTTCAGTGCATTTAGTTATAGTGCTTACTTACAGGAAATAATTTGCATTCCAAATTTTTAAACTTGCTGTTTCCACAATCGCAACAAAAATTTCTGAAACAAAGGAGGAAGAGCCCATTTTAATTTTTCTTTTAAATCTAATGACTTTTTAAAGTTCATATCATAGCCTCATCCCTTTCAAATCATTTCTAGGATCTAAAAACTGGCCTTGGTTGCTGCTCATCTGTCCCAATTCAGAATTTCTTCAGAATTCCATGTAACAATAAAATATTTAATAATTCTGGAAATTAACATGCAGAGATAATTATCAATATAACATCCAGAGACACAAGTACCTTAATGACAGAGAACGATGGGTAGTTTGAGTTTGTACCAAAATTATATTTTTAAAAGGCCCTCTAGAAAAGCTATTTCTCGAATAATATTATGTTAAACAACTATAATAAATTTTACCAGTGCACAGCTACTCTGATGGAAAAAAGCAAGATTAAGAAAAAAGCATGGCTGGGGAGGAATCTAAACATTTAAAAAGCGTTCAGCACCAACCTCACTGTCTTTACCTTTTTGTGTATAGCTCGAAGAGTTTGTGACTTCCGTGACATTCATAACTGCAAGCGAGGCAAATGCCTGCTGGTTCTTCTCCCTCTGGGGTACAGGTACTGCAGGCATACAGTGCTTGTCTCTTCACAAAGCCCTAAAAGACAGTCCCGAGATTGGAAAAGAGAATTAATGAGATACCGCATAGCTACCTAATGCGCTACTGTGACCTGAGAAATAATTGAAATCAGATTATCTGTGGGTCAGGATCTTCCTACAAAACCACTAATAAAAAAGTATATACAAGAGTACCAAACACTGTTGGATATTTCTTATCACCAATGTATTTCCTTTATTCCTTTTTTTACTTATTAACTATACAGAGAGAGGAAGGCAGGGAGGAAGGGAGGAGAAACATCGATCTGTTGTTCCACTCACTTACGCACTCACTGGCTGATTCTGGTGTGCCCTGACTGGGGTCCGAACCCAACAGTGTATGGGAACAACGCTCTAACCAAATGAGCTGCCTGGCCAGGACCCTCCTAGTGCTTGTTTTCATACAATTTTCCTAAAATAATGGAAAGTTCTGCCCTGCCTATGTGGCTCAGTAGATTGAACACAGGCCTGTGAACTAAAATGTCACTGGTTTGATACCCAGTCAGGGCACATGCCTGGGTTGCAGGTCAGGTCCCTCTAATGTGTCTTTTCCTCTCTTTCTCCCTCTCTCTAAAAATAAATAACTTTAAGAAAGAAAGAAAGAAATACAACAAAAGTTTAACATCTTCAATCAGCTATGAATAAGCTGGTCTGCTTCATCATTTTAACACATGAAAATGGAGGAGAATGTGTGTAGGTTTATGTAATATCACCCTTCAACGGTGGAAAATGCTTGTGATTCCACCAAAGAGAAAATCAACACATTAAAAAAATCCCCCCCTTTTTTGAAATGCAGAATCTTCATTTCATTTATTTAATTTTTCAAAAAATCCCCCCCCTTTTTTAAGGAGATGCATGTTGAAACATTTAGAGGTGCAGTGTGGAGACACCTGCAACTTATTTTCAAATGGTTCATCACAAAACAAAAAAGAAAGTATATTATAAAGAAGAAGAGAAAGGTAAATGTAAAATGTTAAAAAAATGTTGGAGAAACCCAAATATTCATATTATTCTTTCAACTTATTTGTAGATTTAAAATGTTTTGAAATAAAAAGCTTAAGAGAACAACAGGCAAAACCTTTACAGATCTTGATGGCCACCCTCCTGCAGGAAGGAGGGGGACACAGGGGGACACGTCTGAGACGCAGCAACCTTCTACTTTGCACTCTGTGGGGCGGGGAGGCACCCACATCCGCGTGTTTTGTTTTCAAGCCCTACTCATGACTGTACAGTTTTCCACATATTTTACTACAATAAAAGGAAAAGTTTAAGTTCCTTTTTATAAAGCTAACTACATTTCAAAAACAGCTTATGTTCACACTTTTTTTAAAAAAGACAAGCAGAGGAAAAGGTGTTCTAGTGGAGATGGAAGGTTCTACAAATACCAGCCAACATCCGGGACAGCGTCTGGATACCTGGTGTATTTCAAAGTCTAACCACTTCACAGCGTAAACTCAACTGGTCAAGGATGACAACTGACATTGTGACCTCGGCCCACACCACGGAAAGACCCCAGGACTCTCTCCTCACTCCCCGGTGTTCCCTCCCACTTCCGTGGAAGACCACCTCTTCACCCTCCCCATTCTCATCCTCCGTTAGTTTTCTTCTACCCACCTCAATGCATTTTTGTACCTAGAAATACACAGGATGAGTCACGCAACACCACATCACACCCCCTCAAATCCTTGTTCACGTCTTCCAAACGCCGAATTTCCTCTTCAAACTGATCTTTCTCTCCCTCCTACCCCCTTGTCAGTGCCATCTGCTCTTCTGGTTCCTGTCCCCAGGGGGGGTAGACTGCAGAACGACACAGTACTTGTTTCGTCTCCCCCCAAAAACGACTGAGCTAAACTAAACTGCAAAGGAACCGACCGTGAAGGAGCCCAGCCCATCGGGGAGATTTTCAAATCCAGGGTTCTCTCCTTTAATCCGGCTTTGACTCTCCCATTCGGTTCCTAATAAATACTCTAGGGTGGGAAAAGTAGGGACGAAGCAATGAAAGGTCACGGGAATGGTTGCGTGAAAACCAGCCGGGCACCGAAAAGAGACAGAGAGGAAGACAAGAGCAGCTGCTCTGGGGCCAAAGCCTGGAGAATCCTGAGCGGCCGGGGGAGGGCCGAGGGCGGAGGGGGTCCATATTGGACACAGGCTGAAGGTAAAAGGGCAACTGGGCCTGGGATGGAGAAGCCTACGACGAACGGCGGCTCCAGTCCACCACGGGGAAGACAGCCGCGGTTGGCGGGAACTGGACAGGTTCTGCCGGGAAGCGAAGGTTCCGCGGGAGCCCGAGGGCGGCAAGGCCCCCGCCGCGCGCCCACCTGCGAGTAGGAACACTTCTCGGAGTCGCTGCCGCCCAGCACGGCGCACGCCTCATTCTCCAACTCCTCGTCCTCCTCAAGGACGTCGACCAGCGATACCACGGGCTCCAGTTCTGACTGCCGCCCGCCGGGACCCTCAGCTCCGGCCATCCTCAACTGTCACAGGACCCAGCTTTGCCCCCGCGGAGGCGGGAAAAGCGACCACGAGAGGCGTGGCCGGAGGAGGCGGGTCCTGAGTGCCAGGCACCAATCCTAAAGAAAGGAAGCCGAGGAAGGGGAGGAGCGACTTCCGTCGGAAGTCGCTCCTCTCTTTGCTCCCGCCTGCGCCCGTTGCGAGATGGTTTCCGCTTCCGGGTGGTACTCTCCGTGGCGCGTTCTGAAGCACAGTGGTTGCTATGGAGGTACTGGGCGAGTACGTCGGGTTGGACGGGCAGCGGCAGCAACTACGGGTGCCCTGTGAGGCGCCGGGCGACGCCGACCCTTTCCGGGGCCTATTGTCCGGCGTGGCCCAGATGAGAGAGCTAGTGGCCGATCTCTTGGGCCCCCTGGAACAGCGGGAAGCGAGGAACAGGGTGGCGGCGGCTCCAGACGAGGCCTTGGACGGTGAGCTCTGAGAGGGTAGAGGGCGGGGAAGAGGAGCTCGGGAAAAATCTGTTTAGACAGCTCGTGTAAAGTTTCGATCTTGAAGAAAATGAGCCTCGAGAGGGTAAAAATTCCACCTAAAAACTGTTGACACCTTCCGCCGCATGTGGGCGGAATCTGGGGTGATTTATCTGGGCTGCTTCTTCCTAAACGTTTTCACGACTCTATTTCTCTTCATTTATATATATCACTCACACACGCGCACGTGCTGAACTGCCCACTTTGTGCCAGGCACTGGGCTGAGCTTTGGAGAAAGAATGCGACTCTGTTATTCTCCCTGAGAGGTGCGGGGTTAGGTAATAGTGAAAGTATGACCCCAGGACCATCTGTGTCTGCAAATCGAGAGAACCTGGGAGGGCTTCAGAGAGGGCATGACTTGAGCTGGGTGTCTAAGCGTGAAAGGGAGTTTTACAAGGTGTGAAACTGCAAATGTGTGGAAGATAGCCATCTGTCAAGGAACAGGATTTGCAGATTGAGGTAGATTTCAGATTAATTAACAAGTTTTAAGACTCCCAGGCACTGCTCTCCCATATTCCAGTTTTGGAGGTGCAGTTTGAAAGTAGAAACGTGAAATTTAACTGCTTTAATATTTTTTTAAATCTTGGCTTGAATGCAGAAATAAGTAGGTACATTTTGACTAGCCTGAAGAACCTAAGAACTAAATATTGGAGTCAGGGCTTAACTCCTCGGTAGCATAGTGAAAACTCTGTACTTTCCTTTTTCATCTTGATTACTTCTTAATAGTACCAAATAATGTGAAGAAGACAGTTTGGAACATTACACTGAGTTCAGATAATAGATTGTTTCTGAGTCAAGTATATCTAGAATGAAGTCCTCTTTCGTGACTCCAGAAGTACCTCTCTAATCTATTGAAAATGTCATTGACATAAGGACAAGAGTATAGCTAGAGTCATTTTTCAAAATCTGTCATTACTATTAGAAAAATAACTGCCACCTGTTCGATTAATGGTGGGTCAGTAATATATGAACATGCTTTTCTATTATTTGCTTAATGAGATCCCCATAAAGCTTGGGTTTGAATTACCTCTGTTAAATAAAGTGATAAATATAAAATGGTGAATTTTATGTTACATGAATTACATCTCAACAAGTAATGTGCAAAATAAAAAATTGTAAGTATTAAAAAAAAGCGATAGAATTTAACACTAAAAGTACAAATAATCCAAATATACAAAGGATTTGTATATTTGTAGACAATCCTTCCAATATGCGAAGCCAATAAGCACATGAAAAGATGTTCAGCATCATCGGCCATCAGGGAAATGCAAATCAAAACCACAGTGAGATGCCATGACATGCCGACTAGAATGGCTATAATCAAAAAATCAAAAAAGAACAGTAACGAGTGTTGGCTAGGATATGAAGAAATTGGAGCCCTCATACATTGCTGGTGAAACTGTAAAACGGCCTACTTCTTTGGAAAAGAGCTTGGCAGTTCCTCAAAAAGTTAAATACAAAGTTACCGTCTGACCCAGCAATTCCACTCCTAGTTTAACCAAGAGAATTGGAAACATGTTCACACAAAATTTATACAGTAATGTCCTTAACAGCATTGTTTATAATAGCTAAACAGTGGAAACAGCACAGATGCTCTGTGATATATCCATATAATGGAATATGGTTCAGCAGTAGACAGGAATGAAGTGCAGCTGCATGCTACAATGTGAATGAACCTTGAAAACATGCTGAGTGAAAGAAGCCAGATTCAGAAGGCCATTCAACTTATTGAATGATTCCATCTTTGTGAAATGTCCAGAATGGACAAATCTATAGAGATAGAAAGTAGGTGAGTTCTTGCCAAGGACTGAAGGGAATGAGAAGTGACAGCTTATCATTACGGGAGTTCTTTTTAGAATGACAAAAGTGTTTTAACATTAAATATTGGTGGCAATTGTACAGTTGTACAATTCACAATTGTATCTTGTGAATATACTAAAAATCAATAAGCAGTGTACTTTAAAAGAGCGAATTTTATGGTTACATGAATCTTCAAAAAAAGTGATAGGAAAGGTTTTAAACACCAAAATGACCGAAATCTCTTTAATGATACACACTTCAAATCTGGAATATGCCTGGTTTTATTAATCCTAAAGTAAAATGGTCTAGTTTTCAACCATTTTAATTATATTTCTTTCAACCACTGAACATATTGACATACAACAAATGTTTATTTTAAAAGGTGATGATGAAGATGATGCAGAAGGTGAAAATAACATTGATAACAGAACTAATTCAGATGGACCATCTGCAAAACGGCCCAAACCACCATCTTAACAGTAGCTTTTACAAGTGTTAACAGATTGCTGCCAGCTCACTTCAGCAGCGTGTACCCTGGATTGGAACAGTGGGAAGAGATTGGCCTGGCCCCTGCGCACACAAATGCGTGAAGTGTTCCCAAAAAAAGATAGCAACTCTATCTTAGTTATCACTGGCATTTAAGAAAGACTTTTATTCTCATTTGTTTTATTTCCCTGGTACACTTTTGTTAAAGAAAAGCAAACTTTATTCTGTTTCCAGCCAAGAAAGATACAGTAAATGTTTAGAAATCAATCTGTTTTCTTGGATAAGAAATTTCAGACCATGGAAATGTACTTTATAATGTATAAAATCTTCTAAGTTGGCAACTGAGTTTGTGTTATTTTCTACTTTTAAAATGACCATTGAATTAATTTGTGTGATGTCTACATCTTTTAACTTCAATTTCTGTTATAAAAAGTAATGTCGTGGTTCGTGGTCAAAAATATTTCAAAGAACTGACATGAGCAAGTGATGAAATTGGGTAGTGAGTAAAGAATGGCAGTCTGTTTCATAGGAGTGTACACTTGAAACCTATATAATTAACCAGTGTCACCTCAGTAAATTTAAATTGTTAAAAAATGGCAGTTTAAGTAGAAGGAAAACTGGAATAGAGAGAACTACTGAAGGAAGATAAAGGGCTGTTGAAAGAAACCCAAGGCAACCTCGAGTTCATGCTCACACCCAGTATCCAGACGTCCAGAGATGATACGACTCTGAACACGCAGGCGGGCCAGCCATCGGTTGACAGTTACGAGTGCACAAAGCTGAGTTTATTCTTGTATTGTTATTTGTTAATTGTATTTTTCATACATATAACACTAAACCTATTTTTGCCCCAGCCTGTGTGTTTAACTTGTATCTTAAGAACACCAAATGGGTTTTCTTTTATACCATGGTATGTCATTTACACACATACAGCCTCCAAGTAAGTCTATGTGAACTGTAACTTAGATGCTTCCTGTCAGCCTGTAGCCATACTGATTTTGCTTAACAAGGGGCTATTTTAAAGCCTTGAAGTGTTGTCCCTTCTTGTCCGTGGGACCCAGGCATATTTTATTTACTGTGCATGTTTCCTGATTCATTTGGATAACTAAACTGCGGAGAAATTAAGTAGCTATACCTAATGAAATACAAATAGTCATTGATTTTTAGAGTTGGAAGTAACCTTATGTAAGTATTCTATGATTATTTAAGAGATAAATTGAATCTTAGAATCTGTGTTTACCCTGAGTTACAGAACTATTGGCAGAGCTGGGTCATACACATAGCCTTAAAAAGATTACCATATACTATCCCAATTACAGATTCTGAAACCTATAGCTTACAAAGTACATGCTACATAGCTTTCCATGTTTTTAAGGTATTGTTTTACTTGGGACATCAGCCTTCCACTAAGTACTCTTATGTAACCAAAACATTGCCAACTAGAAAGTTGTATACAGATGCTCTTTGACTTTCGATGGGGTTTATATCCCAATAAATGCAATATTATTTGGAAATATAAGTTGGAAATGTATCTATCACATTTACCAAACAGCTCAGCCTGGTCTACCTTAAACATGCTCAGAACGCTTATGTTAGCCTATAGTTGGGCAAAATCATCTCACTTGCGCCGCCCAGCACAGAAGGGGAGTGCACCACACGTGGCTGGCCTGGGAGAAGATCCAAATTCAAAGTTTGAAGTAAGGTTTCTACTGAAAGCATTTTGCTTTCACACAGTCATAAAGTCAAAAAAATCGTAAGTTCATCCATTCTAAGTCAGAGACCGTCTGTAAATGATCAGAAATTATCTCATTTGTTCACTTATGTCTCTAATATTGGTACCTCAACTTAATGACTTGAAATGATCTTTTATCTTTTTAGGATATAATCTGTAAAAATAGCATACTTGTGTAATTAATTAAGAAATAGTTCATATTTTTATGAACTGTTTTTGCTCATGAATATTTTGTTTCCTTCTTTGTTTAGTGAATATGTTTATAAAGAAGAAATTTCAAGATATCCACACTTGGGATTCAGTGTTTTATGGCCTGGGTTATAGGTTTTATTGAGCTTTTCCTTTAGTACTGATTTTAATTCTAATACTGTCTTCTTCATAAGTGAGCCATATATGTGGCCAAAAAAGTCAGTTTAAAGGACCAGCATAGAAGAAAGGCCTTGCCTTGCTTTCTAATCCGCCTTGTAAGGGTGCAAACATTAGCCACAAGCAAGCAGAATATAGTCTAGTTGCCTTTCGAATCCTGGGCCAAGTGACTTCTTTTGCCTGTCTACTCTTCTCATCCTTTAGGTTTCAATATAAAATATTCCTCCAACAGACATTTCCTGGCTTCCTGGACAGTGTTAGGTCCTGGTGCTGCGTGGGTCTGTGCACCTGGCACCCTGCATTTCCCCCTAATAATACAAAGTGTACTACAAAAGCATTATTGCTTCAGCTGCTCAGAATTTTTTTTAACTTTTATTAAGAAGGCCTGGACTTTTAAAGGAAATAAAGGTTATGGTTTCTTCCAAATGAGAAAACCGGTTAGACATCTGTGGCCCTCAGTTTATGATGCTTCTTTTACCTAATTCCTATTTAGCCTATTAAAGATACACCTGTCAGTGGAATTGTTCAATCTGTATAAGTATAGATTATTTGGGCTTTTTTTAATGTTTATTGATTTAAGAGAGAGAGAAAACATCGATTTGTTGTTCCACTTATTTACGCATTCATTGGTTGATTCTTGTGAGTGCCCTAACCAGGGATTGAACCTACAACCTTGGTGTATGGAGATGACACTCTAACCAACTGAGCACCCAGTCAGTGCTAAACTTTTATGAGTTTATTCGAGCCAAACTGATGACATGCCAGGAAACACGATCTTAAATGCTCCAGAACATCATTTCTTATATAGCAGTAAGAGACATACCTAAAAACCTAGGTTTTTTAACTTAGTTGTCAGTCACCATGTGCTAATAAAATGTTTACAAGAAATTCCTGTTTGCCCTGGCTGGTGTGGCTCAGTGGAGTGAGTGCTGACCTGTGAACCAAAGGGTCACTGGTTCAGTTCCCAGTCAGCACATGCTTGGGGTGCAGGTCAAGTTTCTGGGTTGGGGGCATGGGAGAGGCAGCCGGCTGATGTACCTCTCACATACATCATTGTTTCTCTCCCTTTCCTTCTCCCTCCCTTCCCATCTCTCTAAAAATAAATAATCTTTTAAAAAAAGAAAATAAATTCCTGTTTGAATTGTGGTTGAGCACTGCAGAGTTCAGAGCTGTGTTACCATAAACGCAGCTAGTGATAGTTTCAAATAAAATCAACGTTAATTAAGTTATACTACAATCATTCTTGAGATCATTTTTCTTGGAGATCTAAGTATATAGTAGGCGGAGTATGAAACTCTTACCAAAATTGAAGAATACAGGGATAGGCAAAAATAGGTTTACAATTAAGCCCTGACTGGTGTTGCTTAGGGAATTGGGTATCACCCAGCAGACCAAAAGGTCACCAGTTTACTTCCTGGTCAGGTCACACTTGAGTTGCAGGCCAGTTGCCTGGTTGGGAGCATGCTGAGGGTATGCGAGAGGCAACCAATCGATGATTCTCTCCCTCTCTTTTTCCCCTCTTCCTCTCTCCCTAAAAATAAATAAAATATATTTTTTAAATAGGTTTATAGTTGAGTATGTAAAATGCAGTTTATTCTTATATTATTTATTTCTGTATTATTAATATAACTGGAAACCTACTTTTGCCCACCCTTGTATTTGTAAAATAACACTCAGTTTTATTTTCAAAAATGAGAAACAAACTGGTTTTTGTGATGAAGTTGGGTCTTTTCTCGCTACTTAGAATGTAATATTGGGCTGGCCAAAAAGTCCATTATGTTTTTTCATTTCCACCAATAACTTTATTGATTTGGACATTTTGAGTCTGTGGGCTCTCTCCCACTATTGGCTTCTAGTGGGGAGAGCCCAGGGGCGCTGCTAAACATCTTCCAATGCATAAGACAGCCCCACAGCAAAGAGTTATTTGGCCAAAATGTCAATAGTGCCAAGAAACTTTGCAAACCACTTCTGACACATTCGATCAGTCACAGTACCTTCTCTATCCAGTGCACAAATCTTTCTTTGCATTTCAGGTGCATTCGTGCCTTTCTTGAAATAATAAAGCATAATATGCCAAAAATGTTGCATATCTTCTTCCATCTTCCATATTAAAATGGCTGCACAAGCATTCGCCAATTTTGGTAAGTTTTTTTAAATGCACGCTGAGAGACTTCCACCAAGATGGAGGCCTAGGTGGAAATAATGTGCCTTCTCGCACAACCAAGTTTAAAAACAACAAAGTTTTAGCAACAAAAACAGATCAAAACCACAGAAAATTGAACTACAGGGAAGTCTGACAACAACGAACCTTTCAGCCAGACCTGTAAAAGGGGCGAAGCCAGCAGCAGAGCGGGGTCGGGCAGGAAAGATCCACTGGGCTGACCCAGGCACGTGACCCAGGCGCCCAGGCAACTGTGGGCGGATCCCAGGTGTGGAGTAGCAGTGGGTGGACCCACTGAGGTCGCAAGGTGGCAGGCTGTTGGAGGTCACACATTGGCGTGCAGATAAACCAGCGAAAGAGTGAGCAGTGAGACGGTTCGCACTGGCCCCAGCAGTGGGAAGCAGCAGAGGAGACCGCCATTGCCCCTCTTTGACCCTACCCCCACATACAGTGTCACAACCCAGCAACCTGGGTTGCCTCACCCTGGTGAACACCTAAGGCTTCGCTCCTCATACTTAATGGGCGCAAACAGACCAAAACATGGCTCAAGGAGAACTCAAAGCCCCAGAGCTCATAACTCTAAGCGATGAAGAAATAGCCAAACTTTCATATGCACAGTTCAAAACACTGGTGATCAGGATACAGAACTGGTTGGTTTTAGTCACAAATTAGAGGAACATATGAAAGCTAAACTAATTGAAATGAAGGGAAATGCACAGGAAACCAATAGTAATGGAAAGGAAACTGGGACTCAAATCAAGGGAGTGGACCAGAAGGAAGAAAAAAACGACCAAACAGAAAAAGATGAAGAAACAAGAATTTAAACAAATGAGGAGAGGCTTAGGAACCTCCAGGACATCTTTAAACGCTCCAACATCCGAATTATAGGGGTACCAGAAGGGGAAGAGGAACAGTCATGAGTGGAAAACTTATTTGAACAAATAATAAAGGAGAACTTCCCCAATCTGGCAAAGGAAATAGACTTCCAGGAAGCTCAGAGAGTCCCAAAGAAGGTGGACCCAAGAGGGAACATACCAAGGCACATCATCATTACATTAGTCAAGATTCAAATGAAGGAGAGAATCCTAGAAGCAGCAAGAGATAAGGGGACAGTCACCTACAAAGGAGTTCCCATCAGACTGTCAGCGGATTTCCCAAAAGTGATCTTACAGGCAGGAAGGGGCTGGAAAGAAGTATTCCAAGTCATGAAATCCAAAGACCTACATCCAAGATTGCACTATCCAGCAAAGCTTTCATTTAGAATGGAAGAACAGATAAGATCAAATTCAAGGAGTTCACCATCACCAAGCCCTTATTATATGAAATGTTAAAGGAACTTATCTAAGAAAAAGAAGATAAAAATGGTGAATAGTGAAAGGACAGCAAACTCACAGTTATTAACAACCACACCTAAAACAAAAGCAAACTAAGAGGACAGCTAGATCAGGAGCAGAACCATAGAAATGAAGATCACATGGAGGGTTAGCAACAGGGGAGTGGGAGAAGGAGAAGGCGGGGAGAAGGTACAGAAAATAAGTAGCATAGACGGTAGGTAGAAAATAGGGCAAGGGCAAGAATAGTATGGGAAATGTAGAAGCTAAAGAAGTTATGACACATGGACATGAACTAAAGGGGGGGAGGGGGCAAGATGGAGGGGAATGAAGGGGGGAAATAGAACAACTGTAATGGCATAATAGTAAAAGATATTTAAATAAAATGCATGCTGATATGACAGCTGTCACAATATAATATACCAAAATTGGTTCAAATAAGTTAAAGACAACTCAGGGCTACTAGAGCCATCTTATGGGAAAAAAAATGGACTTCTTGGCCAACCCAATAAATTTCAGGTAAATTGAAGAATTTTAGTATAAAAAACAAAACCATAAAAGTACTAAAAGAAAATGGAATAATAGTTTTTATAATTCCAGAGTGAAAAAGTTTTCCTAACCAGGGATTTTGAAAATCTAAAAGCCATAATAAAAAAAGATTAGCAAATGTGGTTATATAATGTTTCTGAACTTTCTGTAAGGTTAAAAAACAAAGGGAAAAGTATTTCATATTTTCAGCACAGATGACTAAGAATTAATTTCTCTTATGAATCTCACACGTACCAGTCAGAAAGAATAGGAATGGGCAAAGGAAAGGAACAAAAAGATCACAAGAAGTATACATGGCTTTTAAATGAAAAAAATGTTCCACTTCCAGAAAATGAAAATTAAAATACAATGCAATACCATTTTTCACTTTTCAGACTGAAATATCAAAAGTTTTGATGCAGTATTGAGCCGGAAAGGATGTGAAGGTCTGTAATATATTGATGGTGAGTGTAAATTGGTACAAGCTCTTTGAAAGTTAAGTTGATAATTCTGTTGAAATGTTAAATATATGTGCTCTTAGACTCAGCAATTTCACTTATAGAAATTAATCCAATAGATAATAGCAACATATGCACAGATCTGTTACAAAAGTACTTACTGCAGCCTTATTTTTAGTAACAAAAGGCAGTAATACAACCTAAATATCCATCAGAAGACCCTGTTAAGTAAAAATAATATGTTACGTTAGAACATTTGTGCAGGCATTAAAATGTCCAAGGTATAGCTCTGCATTTTGTTAAAGATCAATTTCTAGGATATAATGTTAAATGAAAACTAGCAAACTATAGAAACAGTGTGTAAAATGCTACTATTAAAGACCATTGGCTGGATATGCTTATAATTTCTCTGAAAGGATAATCAAACTGCTTGTAGAGAAAGTAGGGGTCAGGAGTGAAAGGGAGATTTTTCATCACAGAGTCTTTTTGTTCTCTTTTCATTTAAAAAAATCATGTTGCATCTTTTTATACACAAATACAGAAAAAGTTATTGTTGAATCTGCCACCACAGCTGCCGTGACCTGCCAGGACAGCTGCGTGGCCGAGCATCCCTGAGCATCACATTAGAAGTTGCTGACCACTCTCTCCAGCCCTTGCCAAGTACGTCTCATTCTCCACACAGCCAGTGCGAGATCCCTGCAGCTACAAGGTGGGCACCATGACCGAGCTCATTAACTGCCACCACTGCAATGAGCCCCTGCAGGGGAAGAACTACGTGGAGAAGGATGGCCACCGCTGCTGCTTGATCTGCTTCGACAAGTTCTGTGCCAACACCTGTGTGGAATGCCACAAGCGCATCAGTGCGAACTCCAAGGAGGTGTGCTACAAGAACTCCTACTGGCACAGCGCCTGCTTCAACTGTTCCAAGTGCCTGCACCCCTTGGTCAACGAGACCTTTGTGGCCAAAAACGACGAGATCCTGTGCAACAACTGCAGTATGCTGGAGGGCACCCCGACGTGCAAGGGCTGCTCAAAGCCCATTGTGGCCGGCGATCAGAATGTGGAGTACAAGGGGACTGTCTGGCACCAAGACTGCTTCACCTGCAGCAGCTGCAAACAAGTCATCGGGACTGGAAGCTTCTTCCCTAAAGGGGAGGACTTCTACTGCGTGACTTGCCATGAGGCCAAATTTGTCAAGCAGTGCGTGAAATGCAACAAGCCCATCACATCAGGAGGAGTCTTGTACCAGGATCGGCCCTGGCATTCCGAGTGCTTTGTGTGTGCTAACTGCTCTAAGAAGCTGGCTGGGCAGCGCTTTACCACTGTGGAGGACCAGTATTACTGTGTGGATTGCTACAAGAACTTTGTGGCCAAGAAGTGTGCTGGGTGCAAGAACCCCATCACTGGGTTTGGTAAAGGCTCCAGTGTGGTGGCCTATGAAGGACAATCCTGGCACGACTACTGCTTCCATTGCAAAAATTGCTCCGAGAATCTGGCCAACAAGCGCTTTGTTTTCTATCAGGAGCAAGTGTATTGCCCTGACTGTGCCAAAAAAGTTGCAAAGTGACAGTTTGAGTTCCAAACTCAAATTGAATTGAGTTTCATTCCTTGTGTCCTCACCCTCTGCCCTGCACCATCCATAGGAAAAGAGCAGCCTTTGACCTCTTTAAAGTTGTTCCTTCTGTCTTTTCTCCCATTTTATAGTATTAAATAAGGGCACACAGTGATCAGTCATTAGAATTTAGCAAAAAGCAGCTCTGCAGCAAAGTTAATTTTGTGTTGGTTGCAGTCAAAAAGTGAACACTTAGATCGACTCCTCTGCATGTTTAACATAGAGCAGAAAAGTGCTAATCATTTAGCTGTTTAGTGATGTAACTGAGAAGCCTTAAAGTCCCCAGAGATGCCCTTCCTGGCTTAGCTGGGCCACCACATCTTCACACAACACAGAGCAGCTGCAGTGGCTGCTCCAGCTCACTGCTCACCATGTCCTGGGAGGAGAAAGAAAACTTACCAAAATGCATGGTTTAACTCCCTCATCAAAACCTCTTTTCTATTCTTTTGTGCTTTTCTGTTCTTTTTGTGCATTTGTATTCCCTAATACAAATTTCCAGATAATTAACATTTGAACTTAGCTGTAATTCTAATATTATATTTTTTGACCAAGAGGGGAAGAGAGGGAGACAAACACTGATGTAAGAGAGATCCATCAATCGGTTGCCTCTCATACACACCCCAACCAGAGACCAAACCCGCAACCCAGGCACGTGTGCTGAGTGACCTTCACTTTGCGGGATGACAGCCAACCAACGGGAGCCCCGCTGGTCAGGGCCTTAGTCGCAACTCTAAGCTGACCTTTTCCTCACACTAATGTTTGAGTTCCCCATGTGCCCTGTTTTCTGAACATTCCTAACTTTCGAGCATGGAATGTGCAGGCCATTTGGGAAGTGGAAACATCTGAGAGAAGAGGGCTGTTTCAGAAGAACATCATCCCAGCGAGTTTTCCGGAAACCAAACAAAACTAACCCAGCTGTCCTTTTTTTTTTTTTCCAACTAATATTTTTGTTTTAATGAATAGCAGCATAGTTAGGTTTGGAGACTTGCAAGGAAGCATTTTAGGACCCCCACACATTCCTACAGTTTTGAAATCATCCCACAGAAGTAACCATAAAACTCTGCAGGGGCAGCTGAGCAGGTGCCAGGACTGTCGCCACAGGGATGTGGTGAGTTGACTCCCTTGTAACCGAGTCCGTGGGCTCTTTGTCCCTGTGTTAAAGAGTCCCTCCAGCACCCCTTCCCTTGTGATCGCCAGGACTGTTCCTCAAGGGCGGAGCTGCACCTCTGAGGGAGGGGGAGGTTGCCATCGTCACAGGCGGATCTCCACGTGGTGTGTCCCTGAGGGGCGGAGCCCCTGCCCACTGTATTCCAGCTGCGCTGTTGCGTCACACAGCAGAATGAGACGATCTCAAGTGAACGTGTAATGACAATGCACATTATTAACACTCACAGCAGTGGTTAGAGAAGCCAGTGCCTCAGCCCTACATTCTGTCGTCAGTTATGATCACTTAATGTTTCAGTGTGTCCTTACACAAACGAAGCAGCATATAAAGGAAAATGTCTGTGAAACTCAATTTTTACTGTTTAAAAGTCGTGCTTTGTTTATTTATTAATCCTTATCCAAGAATATTTTCATTGATTTTAGTGAGAAAGGGACATTGATGTGAGAGAGAAACATTGATCAGTTGCCTCACATACACTCCCCAGTCAGGGCTCAAATGCACAACCTAGGTATGTGCCCTGACCAGGAATCGAACCCACAACCTTTTAGTGTGTAGGGTGATGACACTGGTCAACTGAGCCACCTGGCCAGGCCCAGAAGCCATATTAACAGTTTAAAGCATCACTAAGTAATTCAGGGCAAAAATGAACCAATTCAGACTTGTTTAAAAAAAATCCACATTTGCCATCTGACTACTACTTTGCCAGAATAGAGAATAGAGTGTGACTTCTAAAGAGGCGAGGAGAAATGGACTAAATATGAGGTGGGATACCAGAAAAAAAGGTGGGAGATGTTTCTAAAACTGACGTGCCTGGTGTTAACCTTGAAAAAATTGCCTTCTAGCCAGGGCATTCTCCTCGAACTATGAAACAAATTTCAGTGTTGCTGCAAGTATTCCATTCTCGGGTGAACTTTGGGGTCACAATTGCTCTGTTTAAAGACATGGCCCAGGAAACAATGAGTGCTAGACAGTAAGTGCCTATGGAAATCTTTTAAAGGTAGTTCACATTGGAGCTGTTGTGCTCCAGTTTTAAATGGAAATTTGGTGCCAAAAATTCTTCTGGAGATAGAAGCAACTTCTAGAAAAACATTACTAGTTGAAATGAGTGTTACGGGGCCGAGGAACGGCCTAGAACCCCAGGGCACTGAATGGCTTGCTGGTACTCTGGGAGTCGTAGTGAGCTTGGTGCATGTGCCGGACAGGAAGCCACCATGACTGTTGGAACGAGAACTTCTCCAGGCTCTGGCCTCTACCTAACACATACCGCTTGTTTGGGAATGTGTCGTTTTTCTCTGCATCAGCGAATAAAATCCCAACACAGCCAGCATAACAAGAACTGTTGGCAATAATACATTGGGAGACCCATTTTAAATCTTAGCCTTGAAATGAATCTATCAGTACATGCTGAAACCTCAAAGAGTTTAATAACCAGACCTACCTAGTATGTGTGACAGTTTATGCTCTGCACTTGGTAAATTGTCAACTTGAACCTTCTATGTTGCAGACACTATTCTAGGCATGGGGCGTCTAGCAGTGAACAAATACACAAAATCCCTCCCCTGCTGGAGTTAGATCCTAACAAAACCTGTGTCTCATGATGTCGTGTGATGAGCACTGGAGAAAAATGGGGAGGGGGGTGCTGCATTTTCAGTGGGGAGGTGGGAGGCAGCCTCACTCAGCCGACCGTGGAGCTGAGGTCTGAGGAAAGTGCTGGAGCAGGCCAGGCCCGAGCACCAGGCAGAAAGGACCTGAGTGCAAAGGGCCTGAAACAGGTTTTTCTGGTGTGTTCTAGAATCAACAACAACAACAAAAAAAAACAGCCTGGCTGAAATGGAGTCAGGTTCTCCAAGGATTAGAAAATGAACCGAAGGTCAAGGGCCACTCATAATGACTGTATGCCTTGTTAAGGACTTTGGCTTTTATTCTGAGGAGTTTGAAAGGAGGAGCGTTTTAAAAGGCTCCCTCCCCAGCTGTTGTTTGGTGGTAGTCTTGTAGTAAACTTAAGGAGCAGATTTTGGTGGGTGGAGGGACCTGCAGCTCAGTTAGACAACTTAGTAAATATGAAGTTGGCAGTTGGATATTCAAGTCTGGAGCTCAGGATAAGTGAGCATTTAAAGCCATGCACCAGAAAGAGATGACCAAAGGAGTGAGTAGAGAAGATGGAGCTGTGGCAGATCGCCAAGGGAGACCCAGCGAAGCTGACAGGAAAAGCTGGTGAGGAAGAGGAAAAGCCAGGGCAGTATCTAGAGCTGGGCTAATACATAGTAGCTACCAGTCACTTGTGGCTATTTAAGTTATAATTGAAATTTTTAATTCAGTTCCTCAGTCACATTAGCTGTATCTCAAGGCTCATTTCCTGTGGCTAGTGGCTACTGATTTGGGCCACACAGATACAGAACATTTCCACCTCCACTAAAGTTCTGTTGGGTGTTTCTGATCCAGAAGCCAACAGAAATTCTCAAGGAGAGGAAATATGTCAAAAACCGCTAACAAGTAATTTGAGGACTGAGACTTGATCAATAGATTTACTTATGTGTAAGTTACTAGCCACCACTTGACCAGAAAGCAGTTTTGGGGGGCGGGCAGCAAAAACCTGATAAAATTGTATTCAGGATAAACTGGAGAAGAGGAATTGGAATCAGAAAATATAGACACCTTGGTTTAATAGAGCTAGGAGATAAATTTCACCTTTCCCTCTTTACCAGAACAGTGTGCTTTTAACTATTAAATAGTCATAGTCAAAATGTTAATAATCAAACTTGGATAATTAATTCCTAAATAAAAAAAAAACATTAACTCTGCAATCATTACATTTGGAAATAATGCATTACTCCTACTGTAATTACTTTAATATTTACACTACCAAGGCAATAGTATCTTGAAAGATAGGGATGAACTGAGCATTTATTTACCAAACCTCAAAATACTAGAATCTGGCCCTGGCTGGTGTGGCCCAGTGGATAGAGGGCCAGACTACAAAGCAAAGGGTCACTGGTTCGATTCCCACTCAGGGTACATGCGGTCCAGGTCCCCAGTAGGGGGCACTCAAGAGGCAACCACACATTGCTGTTTCCCTCTCCCTCCCTTCCCCTCTAAAAATAAATAAATAAAATCTTAAAAAAAAATACTAGAATCTGAAGCATAAGAGATAGTCTACTTCAACAAAGGAATTACTACAAGCGACAAATTCATAAACCTTGCATTACATCAAACATTTATAAAACAAAAAGTAACATAATTTTCTTAAATCATTTCCAAACTCTCATTGCTTCAAGACTAACCAAATAAAACAAGAAACCACTCAGTGATTTTCCTCAAATTATCCTTTTTTTTTTGAGAAGCAGTGTAGTGGAATGATAGAGCCAGAGATCTGAAGCCAGACATCCTGGGGTCAAATCCTGGCTCTTCCACTTACTTGCTGTGTGACCAGCGGCAAGTTACTAATTCCCATGTCCTCATTTCTCATTTTCCTCTTCTGTAAAATGGCACTAGTACCAGTACATACCTGCCTCATAGGGCTATTGTGAAGAATGAATGTAGGAGTGCATTCACTCAAAGCAGTGCCTGCAGCAGGCGTACTACAATGCTCCCTGACTTACAGTGGTTACAGCTCAAACCCATCACGAATTGGAAATACAAGTCCACCCCTGGCTGGTGTGGCTCCGTGGATTCCATGCCAGCCTGCACACTGAGAGGTCACGGTTCAGCTCCCAGTCAGGGCACATGCCTGGGTTGCAGGCCAGGTCCCAGAGTTGGGGTGTGCAAGAGGCAAACGTTTCTCTCCTTCCCTTCCCCTCTCTAAACATAAATAAAAATCTTTTTAAAGAAAATGTAAGTCAAAAATGCATTTAACACACCTAACCAACTGAACCTCAGAGCGCAGCCTAGCCTACCTTAAACGTGCTCTGCACACATCAGCCTATAGTTGGGCCAAGTCACCCTGCTGCCCGCTGCCCAGCATCACAAGAATTGTGCTGCATAATGCCAGCCCAGAAAAAGGCGAAAACTCAAAGTACAGTTTCTACTGATCATATTGCTTTCACACCATCAGAAAGTGGAAAAATCTTGTCGAACCATGGTAAGTTGGGGAATGTCTGTAATTAGTTAATACTCAAAAGATGCGAGTGATTGGGCCGGGTGACCCTCACAGAAACAGGTATTTCAAACTGCCGCTTATTGCAAAGATGCCATGTAGTGTAGCAGAAGGTAAGTCATTTCAGGAACTAGACCTATGGAGGTAGTGAAAGAAGGAAATGAGACTGATTAGAGAAGAATCTGAGCTTGCTGCTTTTGAGTTGCAAACGTACCTGCTTTATCTTTCATGTAAAAGACTGCTGTGCAATGTGCGGCCTTCCGTAGTGTTCAAATCAGTCTTGTTGAAGTTTGAGGTTGCTAGAAACTTAGTTTTCAGTAGCTCATACAAATTGAGGAAAACTTTTCTCAGCCCTGACCAGTATGGCTCAGTTGGTTGAGTGCTGGCCTGCAAAGAGCAGGGTCACCTGTTCAATTCCCAGTCAGGGCACATGTCTGGGTTGCAGGCAGTTGGGGGCCTGCGAGAGGTAACCACACATCCAATGTTTCTCTCTATCCCTCTTTCTCCCTCCCTTCCCCTCTCTCTAAAAATAAATTAAATCTAAAAAAAAAAAAAAGTATCAGATACCTGGTTATACCTCTGGCTGTGCCACCTACCAGCTGTGACCTTTGGCAAATAACTTTCCCACCTTGGTGTTCTCACTTGTAAAACCTAGATAATTGTTGTTCATAGGGTTGTTACATTAAGTGGCTTAATTCATGTAAAGTTCTTAGAACAGGGCCCAAGCACCAAAAAATGTTGATTATTAAAATCTGTCAGTGAAACATTTCCCTGGTATTAATGACATAACTGTATAAAAATATATCTTGATCTCACCCATAAAAAAAAGAAAAACTCCTAAAATCTAGTATTTCCATTTTTAGTTGTTTGTATTGGTACCAGACATGAGGTAGTAAGTACAGATGCACAGGAGGAAGTACAAGGATCACATCTTCATGCAACTAACCTATGGCCTGAGGACCAGCCCTTAGGCTATAAAAGAATATCTGGATGATGACTTGATAGCATCCTTTAGAGAGCTATCACACAGCTGACAGGCACTGGACCAAATATTTTCATTGCACACCTTGTTTCCATATTCTATGTGTAAGTTAGATTTCTCAACAAATATTTAGACCCTTCCCAAGATTTTTTTAAAAAAATCAGTACCATTAATAATGGTAATTAATAATGCCAGTAGCATTACCAGAAGGAGGAACAAATCCTACATATCAAGAGAGCAATCACCTCAGTAATTTTATACCAATTTCTCACAAGCATAAATAGTTGGCTTACAAAAGGATAAACTGGTATTTTAGTTTGAAGAATTTTAGAGCAAGCAAAGTAACTATAAAATTTAAATTTTATGACCATGTTTGGACCTTCTTACGTGTTAAACACAATAGAAATGTTCATATTCATTTTTCCCCCAAAAGAAAAAATTTCTGAACCATCACTATGCTTCACAGTAGAATAGAAATAACAGACACGATTTTACTTCCAAAATCTGAAGTCATCAACATGATTCTGTAGTACTGTATCTCAGGCTTTACCTAAAGTTCCCTTATTATTCCGTTAAAGATAGCCCCCTAGTCACATTTTTTAAAAAGCCTCTGCCCCACCACAACTTCCTGAGATCTGTGGAAAAACTGCAGTCTTGTGATCAGGTTCCACATTGTACTGGCAGTTTTGTAATCAAGAGGAAAAAACGGTGACTGATTTTATGTCTCAATCAGTTGTAGTCTGCTGATCTGATTAGAAGCCTTGACAAATGCCTGATGGCGATTGCAAATAACTGCCAAGCATATGGGGATAATACAGTAGCCCACGGTTTTGGGGTCAGCTCTTGTACAAGAATAGAGGAACAAAAACATCTGTAAGTAAGGTATCAGAAAAATAATTGTCCAAAACCAAAATGGTAGGGAGAGTAACCGAGCTTTCAAGGAGTGTGTCCACGTGGTCCCTTCAAGGGGCTCATCTGGGTGCTGTTGAATGTGTTCCAAGGCCAGTCTGTTGTAAGTCTCATTGATTTCAAACACGTAGTAAAATGCGGCTGCACTTGCTAACAGATACAATCCCACTCCAATCCATCCCATCCGCTGACGGAAATTCATCATTCTCCATGCTCTGTGCCTTCAAAGTTAAAAAATTAGAAGATACAGTTAAGGTCTAGTAATGCTGCAACGGCAACCATTCCAAATGTACTTCCTTTATTTCTATACCCTACTGCCACATTTACAGTTTAAGACAAAATCACATTTATTAAGACATGTAAACAACGAACAGGTGGTTTTACATAATAGTTACAAGGAATTATTAAAAGTTTCGGTAAATACTGACTGTGCCTTTACATGAGTCCCACAGAATAAATCACTACGATCTGGCTTGCAAAGATCCAGATACGCCTTCCATTAAGAGGCAGGAATTAAAGTGGTTTCCTACGGAACATTTAACTTTTACAGTTCAAATGCTTTCTGAATTAATAGTATTGCTTCAGACGTGAACACTTGGCTCTACAAGTCAAAGCAATGTCGGGGCCCCCAAGTCAAGACAGTAACTCTTAAACACTTACAATGGTCCCGAGAATCTTCCTGTTCCCACGGCAAGCGTTAAAGAGTCACTCAGTTCTGAATAATCGGGTAGCTTTGGCATGTCAGAGAAAGCCACCATAAAAGAAATCCCCGGGGTCACCGGCTGGGAGAATGGTGAACGCGACCAGCCTGGAGCACAAGCTAATTGTGATTAAGCACGGCGTGATTGCGGCGGGTCTCGCGGCGGATCGGCCCCCGTCGCTGCTCCCGGAGCTCCCAGCCTCTGTCACCTGGCCCAGCCCGGAGATTCCCTAGCCGAACCCCGCCCCCTGTCAGGCTGCAGCACCCGCGGGCCGCGACCAGGGCTGCTCAGGCAGCGTCAGGCCCCGGCCTCTCTGCCTCGCAGCACCGGGATCCCAGTGCCGGGCAGCGGCCACTGGCCGAGCCTGCAGAACTGGGCAGGCCCGGGATCTCACCTTCCTGTCCGGGTTGGCCCGCCCGCTCGCCGTCCCGGATGCTACCACAGTCGGGGCTTCCGGCTCGGCCCGGAAGCACGCTTGCCCCGCCCCGAGGAGTCCGCCCCCCGTGACGTCAGGGCGTGTCCGCCCCCCCGCGGCACCGCCTCCTCGAGAACTCCACCCACAGCTCCAGGTGGGACTAGGGTCGTGGCTGTGGCATATCTAGGGGTGGGGCGCCCGTTGGGGTGGGCTGCCGTTGTCGCCGGGCCGCCCGTGAGCTCCTCGGCCTTGCCGTGGGTGCCTCGCTCGGGACTCTGATCACCCCATCGCCCCTCGCCGCGGGGAGAACCGCGCCGCAGAGGCGGTCCGCCATCCCCTCTTCGCGCCTCTACAGCCCCCGAAAGCCCTCTCCTGCTCCCCAGTGGAGGAGTGGCCGCCCTCCCGCCCCTCAGGCCTGGCGTCCCGGGAGGCTTCCGGAGCTGGCCCTGGCGCCTCAGCCGCTGGCGGTGGACACAGCCATGGGCCCCTAGATAACGGTGGGGCGCCCGAGGCCGAGGAGGGGATTAAGATGGCTGCTTGCCGCCTTGGGGACGCCCTGGCGTGGCCAGCCGCTTAGGGTGCGCGTAGCTTCCCAAGCCCTGGCTGGGCCCTTGACACCTTCAACTGATCTGACAGCTTGGTCCTCACTGGCCGTGGAACTCGGAAAGTCAACGGGACTTATCCGGGATACTTCGAAGGAATACTGTGGATTGCGGTGGATGCCCCCAGTGAATTAGAATTTAAATATATTGTTTTGGGCACCATGACGCCGGGGCCCTTGGAAGACCTGTGTAGGGGTATGAATATGAACCCTCGGAAAGCGCTGTTGATTGCCAGTGACCTGTACTGAGGCTGTGCGAGCCAGTTTAGTTCCCTTGGGTGAGGACAGATTGACCGGGAGATTCCGGAGGGATGGGAATAGGATTGTGGCCTTAATAGGGCTTGCTGAAGAAACTAGTTTTGCCCTGGTCCCGAAGGAGATAACCTGGAAAAGAGGGTGTCTGGACAGTGATCTTTAAGCCCCCTGACCCAGATAATGAGTTTTTAAGCAGATTAACTGAATTTTTAGAAGAGGGCATAAGACTGGTTGAATTTACCTGAGCTTTTGGGTATGGAAACGACCCTTTTGACCTAGAACAGGGCATGACCGCAGAAATAAGGGCCCACGTGTTGGCACAGACATTAGATGAGACTCTTCAGCCTGCCCTGTGATACCTGAAATGCAAGAAGCTGAGGATATTCTCTGGCAGTGATCCTCCAGAACCAGAAGAAGAAGAATTTAAATCCTGGCTGATTCACACTACTCAAATGATGAAGACGTGGCAGGTGTCAGATGCAGAGAGAAGAAGGCAATTGCCAGAGAGCCTTAGAGGCCCGGCATATGATGTCATTTGTGTCCTCAAGTTAAACAGTCCTTTCTTTTCAGTCTCTGAATGCCTGCAGGCTCTTGAGAAGCTTTTGGGGGTTACTGATAATCCTAGGGGTGTGCAGGTCAAATATCTGGCCACTTACCAGAAGGATGAAGAAAAATTGTGTCCACACTAAGGCTGGTAGAGAGAGGAGCAGTTGAGAGAAGCTGTGAATCAGGCCACCTGGACCAGATCGTTGCGGGAGCAGCCAGAGGGTGGACTGGCCCCTGGCTTGTTGCTGGTGCTGATAAGGGATGAAGTTGCAGTTGAGAATGAGGCCCTTCTCCAGGCAGGACTGGAGTGGCATTTCACCTGAACGTTGGGAACGCAGAAAGGGACAGTGACAAGAAGCAGAGCATGGAGGTAGAGCAGTCCATATACTTTAGTGACAGGTATTAGCCAAGCCCTACCTTGTGATGCCAAGCAGGTAACTCATTTTTGTACAGTTCTCAGTATAAATCCATTGGCACTTCTGTGTGGGTCATGGACTAGGAAGTCCGCAGTTCCGCACCGGTATGTATATATTTCAATGCACTCCTGTGGACTTTTTATCATACAGAGTTATTCAGGTGGTCTGTCACTGCATGTGTAGTGCTCTGAGAGGGGTGCAGGGTCAGGCGCCCTGCCCATCTGACCTTGCAGAGATGTCAGCCTGTGTGATAACAGGTGTAGGTGCAGCCTGTCAGATGTGTGTATCATGGTTGTTAGGAGTGTATTGCCCTTGATTTATCAGGAAGATTGGGAGCAGTGATTAAGATAGTTTCTGTGTTAATTGATTCTGTGCAGTCAAAACAAGAGGCGGAGCTAAATGCTGAGGTTAACTTTGCAGCTGCCATCTCTAGCCCCAGATTCCTGATGTGTGTCATCAAAACATGTAGTTCTGAGCATCATTTTGCTGGGTGGTATAAGATTACAGGTATAGACTTAAAAATAAAGGCATGCTGATAAAATGAACTTTCATCTGTTTGGTTTATATCAAATTTCCAAAAGATTTTATTGGAACAAAGGGATCCAAGCACTTGAATCTGAAAAACACTGAATTTCCTCAATCTTAGTCCCTGAGTGAGAGATTGCTGGAGGGAGCCACTGAAGCACGTGGAATGAAACAAGGCCGCACATGGATTCATGCCCCAAGTTGGTGAAGACACCGATGCATCAACGCGTTGATTAGAGGGGTTTCCTAGCTAATAAGTGCTGGGGCTGGATTTACACTCAGGCGGTCTGTTTCCAAAGTCGTGCCCTGAGTCCCTTCTCTGGTGCCTTGTTAAGTTCTCACAGAAACCTGCGAGAAACACCATCATAGCTTCTGTTTTGCAGATGAAGACCTGAGACTCAGGGAGCCTGAGCCAAGTGCAAGGGCACATGGTCTGACTCACAGGAGCTTTTCTCAAGGTGTTCTGACACGTGTCTGATAACCACGACATCATGGTCAAAGAGGCGGTTGTGTTTACGAAGTCCTGTGAAGTAATAATCTAATCTATGTTGTTTAAAAGCTGTGTTTGAGCATGAACAACAAAACCAAAAATACTGTAACTAAGTTGTGTTGGAGTGATGGGATTATAAGGATGCTTCGGGTTTTTTTTTGTTTCCTTAATGTTTTTTTTAATATATATTTTTTAAAGGTTTTTATTTATTATTTAGAGAGGGAGAAAAGGAGGGAGAGAAACACCAGTGTGGTTACCTCTCACATGCCCTCTGCTGGGGACCTGGACCACAAGCCCAGCATGTGCCCTGACTGGGAATCAAACCAGAGACCCCCTGGTTTGCAAACCACTCAATCCACTGAGCCATACCAGCCAGGGCCCTAACTGTGTTTAAAAAATATATATATGCAAAGGAAGTGCTCAAAAAGCAAAAAGTTGGCATTTCAAAAGCACACAGGAACCAGCCTGAAAGAGCTCCCACTAGCGAAATCTACAATTAGCAACAAAATTGGATTATAATCCAAAATATAAATGTCTACAAGTTCATGATGATAAAAATAAATAAGTACGGGAGAAGAGTCAAATTTTACTCACAGGAGAGTTTCAAATCATTTATGTGGATACTGTCCCCTTTGGAAGGTGGACTTGATCCCCTTCCACCCTTCAGTGTGGTCTGAATTTAAGAACAGTGTGTGGGTTTGGCACTGGCGGCTGGGTACCGGAAGTCATGCAGGAAGAGCTGCCGGGCACCCAGTGCACGCGCTCGACCCCTTGTGGACTGACTGGCAGTTGGGCCCAGCCAAGACCTCTGCACTCCCTGGGGAGTGGAGGGGCTCCTGCCGCGTTCCCTGTCCGGGGAGCTGCAGGGGAGGAGGCAAGTAGTTCCAACCAGTTGTTGGTCTGTGACCGGAGTGAAGCAGGTGTTATCATACTGGCCTGAGTCAAGAAAAAAAAAAAAAAGAATTGGTGTGAATAGGAACAGCATGTGGAAAGGAAAAGTCATAACTTTTCAGTGAAGGAACCCAGCAAGGGCTAGCGTGGCCAGGTGGCCAGGGTTCATTTAACATCAGTGATCGGTCATGTGGACAGCATCTCTCCCTCCTACAGTGTGATGACGACACTTCACCTCTGCTGTTCTTCCTCAAAACCTGTAGCCCAGTCTAATGGTGAGAAAAACACCAGGCAAACCGACTGAGGGACGTCCTACAGAACACCTGACCAACACTCCTGAAGACCATGAAAAACATGAAAAGACTGAGAGCCCAGCACAGACCAGAGCAGGCTAAGGACAGAAGGTGACCAAACGTGGTGTGGCATTCTGGAAGGGACTTGGGGGCAGATAAAGGACCTTAGTGAAAAAGTGGGATCTGAATATAGTCTGGACTTCAGTTGACAGTAATTCACCAGTGTTGGTTTCTTGGAAGTGACAAATGTACCTTGGTCATCTAAGATGCTGTGGGGCAGTTAGGTGAGTATACAATAACTCTACTATCTTTGTAACTTTCCTGTACGTATAACTATCCTAAATATCCGCTGAGATACGTACATAGCTACTCAGATACCACGTGCGGGACGCCGGCCAGTGAAGTGAGTAGGGAGTAACTGGAGGCCCGGGCTTTCCTAAACATGGTTCTTCATCTACACACCACTAGGTGGCGGTAAGCACTCGAGGCCGGCCTCGGCCAGGCCAAAGCAGGGAAAAGGATTATTTCTTATGTAAGTGGCGTCATACCTGCCCCCCCTGAAAGACTGGAAAATTTTCTTAAGCCTTTATGTGGAAAAATATTTAAGTACTCGCTCAGTGAAGGGCAGTGACTTCCTCTCTCGGTCTGTGACACTCCTAGAATCTTGTAATTAGCTTGTCAGGGACGCCTGGCCTTGGCAGACCGACTGATCTGCCTATACAAGTGAGAACATCCTTAGCGATTCGGTTTTACTCCCTGCCAGAGCATTTCATAACACTGGAGACTAGATGGTTTTAGAGATTAGCTCCGGAAAGCCTGTTATTTCAAAGAGAATGACATTTAGGTCGAAAGTACTCTTCAGCCATCTTGGGTTTCCCACACGCCCTCCTGCCCCTGCGAACCAGCAAGCGTAACTCTGCTTTTAGAGGTATTGGTTTCCTTTTCTTTCTTTTTTT